ATTTATAAAACAGTAAATCGAATTTGATAATTTTGTATAATATCAATTTGTGAAAAACATAGTAAACATCAAATTTATCAAGCAATCTATTTAAGTGAATATAAAATTGAGCACAAAAAAGAAAGTAATATAATTCGTTATTGATAAACAGATTGTGCCATTTTCTAATTATTTAAAATTCAATTTCTATATAATTATATCTATATATATATATATCACAAGAAAGAATTCATAATCAGATGTATAAGAATCAGTTTAACAAATATATAAAGAAAAAAACATCATGAAACCAAATTTATGAGAATTTAAAAAAAAAAGATAGAAAGAAAATTTCGAATGAAAATACATTTATCGTGCATTTCATAGAAAAGTTGTTACGTAAAATTTGGGTATTTCCAAGGTTAGAAAGACCTCGCAACTCGGGAATCGAGAATATTTAAAATTTGATTATTGATTTATGATGGAATAGTATTATGGGTTGCGAAATTTCTATTTTGAGAATCACAACTTCATTGCGGTTTCTAGAAACGATTAAGAATCTAAATTCTCGATAATCGCAATTTCTTGTAATTACTTTGAATCACGAGCAGGAAATATTATTTTCAGGAAAAATTAATTTCTGAATTTGGACAAGATAAATTTCGTTTTGATGATATTAATAATTATATTAATCTTATCTTTTATTTTGGTTTAAAATCATTCAATCATTATATTCATTCATATAATTTAGAGTTTAATTGTTAAATAAAATAAAAAATAATTATTAATAAATAAAAAATGAAGTTGAAAATATTTTTTCAATTTTCTTAATCTCTTAAATTTTTAGATACTTCTAATTTTTTGTAATAAAATCAAAAGTTTATACTAATAATAAACAAAACAAGAAGAATTAAAATAGTATTAAAATAATAAAGAATTAAAATAGAATTAAAATAATATAGATCGAATAATAAAATCGAATAAATTAATAATAAGATATTAAATAATAAATTTTGATAGAAATAAATCATTAATGATAAATAAATAAAAATTTTTCTATAAAATCAGTAAATTGACTTAATTTTTGTTGAAAAATCACAATAAAAGAAATACAATAAATACAATAATACAAAAAAATTCAGATGATTGAATATATTGTAATCACTATCAATTTAGAATTGTTGTTTTAATATATCTAAAAAGATTTCAAATAGAAAATAATCTTAATAGGTGAAAATAGTTCGATAATTATTTTAAAAGAAAAAATAAAAGAATTATTAGAGATATGCATGAAAATCAAACCTAAATCCAATTATTATATTGTATTATATTATTTATATTATATATCATGAAAAAAGTATACGTATCTTGAACATTTTACGTATTTTCTGGTTTTGTGTTGAAATTCATACAATTCGAAAGATTTTCCGTACAAATTCATACGGTTTATTGCATTTTCTACAAGATTCTATATCAGAAAATTATCGATATATATGTACTTTCTAAAATGCAAGACTTGCTAAAAATGTCTTGCAAATTGATGATAAGGTAATTATTTTCTTTGGGAAAAATTCGTAAGAAATTAAATTTAATTAATAATTTTAATATAATTTTTTATTTTTATTATTTTGTATAGATTGATTAAGTTAGATTAAGTTTAATTTGTATCCAGAGGTATTTTTTAATTATTAATAATTAAAGAAGTGTGAATATATATGCAATTAAAGAAGTTTGAATATATATGAATTCGAATCTGCAATGATAATCTATTATTATATACATATAAACATTATATATTATATGAAAATAATATTAAAAAATTATCATTAATTTCTTGTATTTTATATATATATATATATATATATATATATAGTATATAGTATATATGTATAATATGAGTGTACGAAATTGAAATTTTTGGAATTATTATAACAGAAGACAAAAAGAGGTCTTTAAAAGATATATAGAACACTTAGTATGATGTTCATATTAGTTATTTACGGTAAATTTAAGCAACATCGTTGTCCTAGTTCCTTTATATTGGTAATTTTCTAAATAACAATCGCGAATAATTAGCACGTTGCTTAACGATTGATGATAAAGCATTGATGAACGGAACAAATAATCACATTTGTTATATAAGAATACCTTTGATATGAAAAAAATATAATACATATTATAGAAGCAATATACATATATTCGTGATGCACATAATATTTTTTAATTTTTATATATATAATTTTATATATAATTTTAATAAATTTTTAATAAATTTTAATATATAATTTTTATATAATTTTTATAATAATATCATTTTTTCGATCTTTTTATCATATTATTTTATTTTCTCTTATGTTTTTCTTAAATAATATTATGTTCAATATTAAAAAAAAATGAAAATTATAGTAACTTATCTTTTAATGACTGAAATTATTATTATTATTATTTTCTTGGAAAATTTGATAAGATTTGATAGATTAAAAATCCGCTTTAAGAGGTTGTAAAAATGGTCATAAATATGAGTAGAGACCATAAATAGAGTACCAAAACTAAAAATAAATTAAAAAAATAAAAATAAATTAAAAATTCATTTTTATATCTATAAATGTAAAATTTTCATATTTGCCCGACGATGCAGAAGAACGATTCTCTTGTTCAATAGGTTGTCATAAGATCTAAAATTACATTTAATTTCGAGGGCGGTATGCGTGGCGCATCCTCGATCGCAAGAAAGTCCGGAACTTGAGCTGACACGGTTGAGTAAACGCGCTCTCTATGAGCCTCGTTCTAGGATAACAGTGCTCCGTTTCTTCAGGAAACAGCCGGTCAAGATATATGACTGCAACTAAAAATTTGTAACAACCGGTTGCGATTTCATTTCCTTCCGCAATTTCCTCTAAGGGACTTTGTTCAATTTCGCCTGGCACACGTAACTTCCGATGAAAATCCATTCTGTATGATAGTTTGAGTACGGCAATATCGGATTAGAGAATTTTCTAAAAATAGTTTTTAATCTTTTATTTAATATAAATTTCTTTTAAATAATTTTATTTCCTCGTGAAATAAAAATCTAATTCAAAATTTTATTGAAAATTTAATTCAAAATTTAAATCTGTAATGTATTTCAAATGAATTTCTCAGAAGACAAATTGGTCAATTCCATTTTTTGGATTAAATTTTTATTTGGATACGCGAATAGAATGAATTTTTCAAAGAAAAAAAAGATTAATTTAAATTTTGTAAGTTGTTTTGCTGCCAATAAATGATAAAAATAATCGTTTCAAAATTAATATTAAAAAATATTTATTTTCTAATCTTTAAGTCTTACATTAATTAAATTCAAATAATTGAAGTTGTACAACTTCAAGTTACTACTTCATGAATATAAATTTATCATTTATTTCAAGTTTGACCAGTATTGCTGTATATTATCAACTTTAAAAATTATAAGGATTTGATTTCATATTTCATTTATATAAGATTGCCAACTGAGTGTATGTTTTCTAAATATAGTTATGATCATATGAAAGTTAAAATTTTTTAAAATTTTCTTTTTTCAATTAACATTAGTTAGGTTAAATTTATTATCAACTTATCAAATAAGATAGATATTAATATTATGATTTTTATCTAAATTATTTTTTTAGATATTATTTATAAGTATTTTTTTAAATATTATTTATAAATCTATTTAGTTTTATCAGTTTTAGAAATTTTAATCTATTCAATATAAAATAATGAATAATAACTTATATTAAATATATAAAATATTGAAATAGTTTTATAGACAATAAAAGCAAAAAGATATTGTAAAATATATCAATTTTAATGTTAATTGGATTTCTTGATAGCATATGTTAAGTCGATTGCATTTCATAAAAATTCCCAAATTATAATATACCTTTAATCGTACTTTTTTCGGATAATCTTCCATTTCCAATTATTATTTTATCTAAATTTTGATCGATGAATAAGTTGATTACCAACGATAAATTCATCCGAAGTTGAAAAACAGTGGTTTCACGAATAATTTCCTGTAATTTATTCGACCGGCCTTTTTCCAGCCGTATCAAAAGACTCTGAATTCATGGGGGAATCGCAATCCTTGCTTTCTTACTTTCTAACGATCATAATATTTCCATAAAGCGACTACAACTCATTTCTAATTTGCATTGCGAACCAACAACCGTTCACTTCAATTGAACAATATTTCCTTGTTCCTTCGTTATCGTTTTCACTAACTATTCAATCATTTTGCTTGATCCTGATCCTCAAGATGGGATCCTATTTATAGTTTTTCCAATTCAAGTCCTTAAAAAATCCTTGATGATTGTTTTTATATTTTTGTGTTTTTATATATTCCTGATAAAAATAATTATATTAAAAATTATCAGTTTTATGTATTATAATTTCTAATTTGATTTTTTTTTATTTTAAATTTATATACGTTATCAATATAGGTAAAATAAAAATGATAAAGATATGTATTCAAAAAAATAAAAATAAAGATTTATATCTAATTTAACCTAACCTAACTTATTTGTACAATTTTTAAAAAATAATATTACGATTCAAAAAAAAAAAATAAATAAATAAAATAGAAAGAAAAACATAGAAATACATAGAATTTTTATTGATTTTTAGTTTTACAGAAATAATTACTATTCTTTCACTAATAATTAAGAAAATTATTGAAAATATATTTCTAATAATTATCAAATGATATCAAAATATGTATTAAATTCTTCGAATGACAATATTATCGAGAATTTATTTATGATTCTATTGTTTGATACATGATTAATCTCAATTTTTTTTCTTAATTTTTTAAAATTTTTCATGCAAGTACTTGAGATTTATATTTAAAGAAACAGATAAAAACGATGAAGAGAACATCTATAAGAAATAAAACATTTGATGACAATAGATTGAAATATTCGAGTTAATTATTAGATATTCGTAAATGCAAAAAAAAGATCGATAGATAATATGAATCATTCAAACAAATTGTTTTATTGCAGCAATATGCAGCCAAGCATGCTGAACAGAACCATTTAGTGGAGCAAATGAATACAAAATACTATTACTATACAAGAACACAGGGTCTCTTCAGGATATGCTATCCCAAAGAAAGACCACCGACTGGTAAGTTCAACATAATCGAACTTTTTTAATGTAAATTCTTATTTCTTTCGATATATTTTTTTTGATCCTAATTCTATATTAATTTTAAATTCTTTCGATCCTAATTTTATATTATATCCTATATTATAGACAATATATTATATTGTATATTAAAGAAATATTATCTGAAATCTATGACTGATTCAACAATCCCTATTTTTTTCTTAAAGGATTTTTTAATTAAAATTCATTATATGTATCTAGAAAATAGAATCTTTTTTTATATCAAAAGAATATAATTCTTTCTTTTTTTGCTAATAGTAGAGGTTTCATCTAAATAGCAATAAAGATTTGAAATTTATATTTCAAGAAATTTTTAATTTTTTTCATTTATAAGAAAAATGACAAAGAATTAAATATTTAACGATGATAGATTGAAATATTCTTCTACGATATCAATTTCAACATTAAAAAAAAAAGTTAAAATTATTTTGTAAAATTTTATATTGATAAATTTAATATTTCTGATTCAGTTTAATATAAATATAAAATATATTTTAATTTAAATTATATAATTTAAATTCTTTAGATTCTTCTTTTCAATGATAGGAACGAATCTTTTGCAATTACTTCTTAAATCGATTTTATAGAATACTTATAGTACAATTCAAATTCATTTACGGTAATATGATGAAAAATGATAGCATAGCAAAAAAATAAAATAAATCGTTATTGAAATGCATCCGCATAAGTATAAATGAATTGTTTAAATGATAGGTTGTTACTAGTCTTTAGATTCAAATGAAAGCATTCTACTTGCATCTATTACATTTGAAAATAGGTATTTTTGATATAAAAAGAACTATAAAATTTTGAAGACTATAAACTTACTTAATTCTTCACAGTAATTTGTTTTTCGTTTTGCATTTCACTTTCAAAAGTTAAGTACCGTTTAACGAGCAATGAATGACAAATTAAATATCAACGATTTATTACGATCTCACTGAATATCACAAATTCTCACGGAATATTTCTTGAACATTTCAATTTAGTTAATCAATGAACAAAAAGCTATTCTTGATTTTTGAAGAAACAAGTATCAAATGAAAACGGCCATGATGAATTTCTCATAAGTTACTGGTTCTTAAAACAGATGGCGGCCTTTAGAAGACTTTCTACAATATTCTATACTATAATGTCGCAGGTTATCCGATCCCACGTAATAGGTTAAGAGTTTATAATGGGCAGGTTGCACGCAATTCGAGGAGAAAGGAAATCGTGAAATTATTGGCATAAACATGATAGCTCACAAACGTTTCTTTCGAATATTTATTTCATTTAATCAATATTGACCCACGATTTTTTCTAATATTATAATTTTTTCTAATAAATGTTAATAAAAATATGAAAGAAAATAATTTAGTATAATTTAGTATAATTCTAGAATTGAAAATTATGTGAGGTTTTGTTTACTCGCCTTCATGCTTTGGAAAGTATAGTAATCACATCATTTTTTATAAATAGAAGAAATTTTTACAAAAAATAATTAGAGGTAATCTATTTTTCTTTGAATAATCGATTTAAGACATGAAAGAGACATTAGAGTCTAGTTTAATCTTGATTCTTATTATATCATAATATAAAAATTGAGTTTTTTTTTTATTTTTCAAAGAAGAATTTTTGAATTCTTATTTTCTTAAGATAAAACCAAGACTTCAATTATCATTGAAATTAAATAAATAATTCAAATTCGATTCATTTTAATTTTTTACTATATCAAATCGTGAATAATTAAAAATATTAATTTGCTATTTAAATAAATAATTTTATCAAGATTCCATTTGTACATATGAATTTATGCATATATATTTAAAAAGTTATATATTTAAAATATTTAAATAGTTGGCAAAATTCATATTATTTTATTTAATTTCACATTATTATAAAATTGTTGAATTTGCTGTGAATAAAACAAATTAAATAAATTTTCACATAGAAAATAATTTCATAAATTATCTAGCGTTTGTAAATATGCAATATATTTAGATGCAATCGAAATTATTTAATTTTATGTAATAATATAATTTTTTATAATAACAATTTCTATAATAATGATAAAATCGAATTTATCAAAAATTAGAAAAAGTCCAATATTAAGAAAAATAAAAAAAAAAAGATTTAAGAAAAAATTTTTAACAATTACAAAGTAATTTGAAAATTTTTTTAAAATTTTAAATTCATATATAATAATTTCCCTTCCATTCAATGTGAAATTCTCATACAATAGAATCGATCGCACGAGTTCGACAAATGGAAAGTTCATTTGCATAATAAAGAAACCAGGTTCGTAAAAGGGAGCCAAGTGCATCAATTTTATAATAAAAAATCGTATTTCCTAATTTTCACGCAATTAGGATTATTGTTTTTGTTATGCAAATAAACGATCATTTTTCTTTTCTTCGCATAAGATCGATAAAATATTACAAATACTGCAGCTTTCAAGATATTATTCATATTTAGTATAAATATATTTAATATAAATATAAATAATGTTAAGTTGAAAATACTTAATTTATAACTATATAATTTAATAATTTAAAGAATAATTATGATTTTTTTATATATTAATATTATTATAAAGATTTTCGGAATTATTTGTTTCGGATTTTTTGCAATTTTATTATCAAAAGATTAAAAACTTAAGATTTATTTTAACAAGAATGTCGAATAGAATTATTAAGATATAATTATGATTATACATAAATATTACAGTTATAATACAGTCATATAAATATATAAATATAATACGAAAATTCATCATGCTCTAAGAGCCTTGAAACAATGACAAATAATATGCGAGCCACGTGTACTCATGATTGAATCAACGTGCCGCACCTGGCACTTATTACCGGCTTGCACTTTATTATTTATAGTTATATATTCATATCTATCATAATCAAATCCAAATATTTCTTGAATTACATGAATAATATACAATCAATATTTTATATCTTATTCTTATTTAATTCTTTTCTTCATTTTTGATTTTATTAAAAATTTTTGTTTAATCTAATTAATTTTGCTTAAATTTCAATCCAAAATTAAATACTAAATTTAATATAAATTAAATTACTTACTGGAGGGCCAAAAAAGAGAAAATAATATATATTCAATCAAAACAATTTAAATCTAAATTTAATCTAAATTTATCCTAATCTAATCCTAATCTATCTTAATCTAAATAAATCTATTTCAAATTTTAAAAATACAATATATAATATCAAATATATTTTTATGTTTCAAAAATTAAGATCAAATAATAATTATATATATAAGAAAAATTTGTTCAGAATGATGACAAGATATATCTATTTTGAATAATTTCTTTGTTTATATCACTTAACCTTATATATCTTAAGAACAAAGATAAATCAAACTATATTTATATTCTAAATATATTAATAAAATTTTCCAATTTAAATTTAAAATTCTATAAACATATAATTAATATATAATTAACCAATCTATTATATATAATCTGTAGTGAATAACGAAGAAATGTAATGCAATATAATTAGCTACTGTTAATTCACTTTGTCTATCAACATGATACATTCACTCATTCTTTCGTCCAGTTGAAACCTGAATATTCTATGAGTTCATTATTTAAAAAGATTCGCATTTTCTCACGATGAGAAACGTAAGCATTTCTAAACTGTATATCGCAGTATAATGGAGTTAATTCCAATTTATACGGAAGTTTCATGTTTCACGAATAACATAACCTATATTTTTCAAAGTAAGAGTGCTTCAATCGCTCAATCGTTGATGAATCAAAGGACTTTCGGCAGACCTTTATTCAAAATACTATTTTTATTGTTTGTTCGAAACGATAACGAGCATTACTATAACCAGTAAATGCATCGAGGAATGAAATGACAGACAATAGAAAGTATACTGAGAAATTCTCGGGGAATGAGAACAACGGTGGATGTTGTTCCCGTCATTTGAGCGGAAAACAATCGAAACGATCGATACATTACGTGTAACCGTCTTGTACCGTTCTTCGACCGCCAGTTCCTTATCGGTTTGTAGACATACCGTTTGCTTCCATTTCCGGCGTTCTATTTCCGGTATCGTATTTGATTTATTTAGCGTACGTGATCGTATATAATGATGACAATAATATATCGATCTTTCGATATATCGAAAATATCGATATACAGCACAAAGCAGCCATGTTTTTAGTAGATATATTGAAATTATCAATATTTTTTTAATGTACTTTAGATAAATTTAAAAAATATAGATTTTATAATATCTAAATATAATATAATATATATAATAGCTGGATAATGAATTTATAACTTTGTTATATATTATTTTATATTTGTTTTTAATTTTATTATTTGTTAATTCTATTTAAAATTATTTATTTAAAAAAATTTTATTTAAAAATTATTTAATATTTATTTTAAATATTATTTATTATTATATATATAACTGTATATATATGTATTATATATTTTATTTATATATTATATATATATTAAATATTATTTTATAATATATTTTATATATATATTAAATATTATTTTATATGCTTCGATCTAATGCTGAAAATTATTATTATATTCTGTTTTTTTATAATTTTTTTTATAAAAAGTATTTACAAATAAATACCTACTACAAATTAAAAATTATTGAAAAATATTTATTGTTTATTCTATTATTTTATTATTTATTATTGATTTTACTTTGAAATTATTAAGAATATTTAATATGAATATAGCTTCAAATTTGTCAAAATTTAATATTGTAACAAAATAATAATGGATATTCTCATTTTTGATCAAGTATCATTTTATAAAATGGAGGTCACGTGCATACGTGGCGACCATCATGGATGCATGTGAAAAATTTGAAGAAACCAGTCGACGACCGGTTTTGGTCAAGATTTTTCTTTTATTTGAATATTTTTCTGTGTTTCTTGTCGCGACAAGAACACCATGTCGTAACGACAGAAAAAGAAGGAAGCAGAATAAGTTCTATGTTGAGCAAGGATATTCTTCCTGAATGGCGAGGTGTCTTAACGCGTGTACAGTTAACCACGAGTCAATGATCTTGGCATGGCGCCTCATTTAGACGAAACTAGATTCGAAGAAGGTCGAGGAAATGGTCGTCATCGATTGAATTACAAATATTTCAAACGGTATGCGAGTTTACTTGACACATCCCTCAATAGTATAGATATTGAAAGCTTAATTAGGATTTCAAATTATGTGCAGATATCTTGTATTTTTTCTGTCAGAGAAGTTTTCATTTTCATTCTTAAGCATTTTTTTTTCCATTACAATTTAGGATTTAAAAAAAATCTAAAAGAAAAGATTTAAGAAAAAATTTTTTAAGGAGAAAAAATCTAAAAGAAAAACCTTTAAATATTTTTCTGATGAGTTGGTTTTTGAATTAATTTTCTGAAAATGAACATAATATATATTAATTATAAATTATAAAGATAAAAGATTAATATATAAAGAAAAATATAGCATATTATAACATAATACCCAAATTTATTTTCAAATTTTTAAAAAATTAATTGATTTCAATATCTTAATTTTCTTCATATATTTCTTTCTATTTAAAAATTTTAAATAAAATCTTCGTTAAATTTGTATTTATTTTTCTTTGAAATCCTAGAATTATTCTAGGAAAAAAATAAATATATTTAAACGAAATGATATAATTTTATGTTATTTTTATATATATGTATGTAAGATTCCATATTAGCACGAAAAAAAATCTATTTTTATTTATACATATTTTATTTATATGTATAAAGAACTAAATAACTTCTGTCGTTATGTATCAAATAATGCAAGTGTAATAATTTCTAGTTAGAAAGTTTAGTAGCAGAATTTCATATATATTACTTCTAAAATAAAATAAATAAAAGATTGTAAAACTTTCTGCGCACGTATACAAAAGAAAAAAGGGAACATTTAAACAAACTAAAGGAGAAGGTTGATGATTCACAATTAATGTCATTACACTTTTCTTTGACGTTTTTAGAAACACAGAAAACTGTGAAAGCATCGGGATACAAGCGTAACTTTTTCTTTTCACTACGTGAAATGCCTTTCGAAAGTAGTATTTCGTAGATTTGGAATGGCCAAAGAGTACCGTTGCCCATGAAAGATAAACTAGAGGTTACACGAGCCAACTTAAATATATGTGTACACTTAATACACATACCGTATATACTATGTAGCCAGTGATAGCGCATTGCATTCTGGGTCACGTGTTTTTCGATACGTGTGCGCACAATATCTCAGGGCTGTAACGAAAAAACTCACTTTGGCTAAGAAATTCCTTCGATCGATTCGAATTATTAAGACAAATATTCAAATTATCTATCGAATTATTCTGAATGATTAAAAATCACTATGTTTCTTGCAATATTTTTATTAATAGGTTATTAATAATAAGAATATGTATAATATATAAATTATATATAAATTATAATAAAAATTTTTCTATTAATAGATTATTATAGGCTATTTATTATTTGAATATTATTTTATTTCATGATATATAAAAGTTTGAGAAGTAAGGATTTCTTAACTCGTATTTTAAGCGTAAAAGAATTTGAAACTTGAATTCGAAATTTTATTTTGCAACCGACCATTAGACACGTGCGTAATTAGAATGTTTCTAAGGCAAATTTCCATGAGTATCCAATTAATCGGCAACAACCGTGAAACTTCCTTAAACAGACTGCATCGATTTTCGCAACTTGGATTTCGCAAAATCATGTTGCCCCTGTTAGTTAAACATTGGATTAACGTAATTTCGCTTTCATTCATTGTTGCAGTTCAAACCTATCTAAGTCCTGTGGAGACACATTGTATGAACATTAATTACTTCATCCCCGATGAAGAAAATTTAACGAGAGGCTTCTCCGATGACGCAATGACTCGACTTCGTATGTAAAACGAATTAAATAAAATATCTATACAATATTTTTTTTAGAATTATCTTAAAGATAATGAACTATTAGCATAGTCACAAGTGGCTACTTTTTGACTCGCAAAACTATCTCCATTATATCGATTTAATTCTTAAAATTAAACATTGATTGAATTCATAAATTGAAACATTATACTTTTTTCTCTACATGTTCCTCATTCTGAATATCACTAGAATTATATTTTCCAATAATCTGTTGATATAATGGGAACATTAGCTGCTTGTGTGACTTGAGAAAAAAGTCAAGTTCATCATTCCTGTTTTAAATAAATAAATTTCATTGGTATTTCCAGACATGGGCAGATCTGTGATAGCTCTGTTTATAGTGGGATTTGTTGCAATTTTTACGGCATTCTGGACGGGAGTGGTAGGCTGTTGGAAGAGGTCACCAGGAAATATCACAGCCACTGCAATCTTGATGTTGCTAGCATGTTAGTGGCTTCATACATTTAATGCGTGTTTTATCTATTCATTCTATGATTAATAACTACATAAAAAATTTTCCAATTATTAAAATATCGTTAAGATAAATCAAGCCTTGAAAAAAGACAATCATTCTCGTTTCATAATATTATATTTGATAACACAGGCTTATTAAGCGCTAGCGCAATGGGTCTTTGGCACGGAGTGGAGTATTACGAGAAAGAGAAAATCGTCGGAGAAGAGTATTATCAACAATGGAACAACGTAAGTGACATTTTTTTATTGCTTGAATTATACAGAATTATATAGAAGATAATAAAAAAAATCTTCATAAGTTTTAGAATAGATAATCCACATCAAATGAACGAAAAAATCCTAAAAAATATAAATATTTTTTAAAGTTTTATTTTTTTTTTAAACGAATAATCTGTTTTAAAAACTTATGAATTATTATTTTTTTCTTTTTAATTATAGAAATTTTTTTTTCTTCTTAATTTATAGAAAATCTAAATATTTTCCTTTCATTTTTCCACGTATCTCATCTTGTTTTGTAATATAATACAGTGAATATCATTCGCTTAAAAAAAATATTTTATAAATTTGAAAATATTAATTTTTCGATCTATGTTTATTAAGATTTTTTTTTATTTAAATACTATTAAGTACTATTTACTTTGAAAATTATTTTTTTATTATTTTACATAATGGAAGTAATACAATATTTGATATAATTCAATATCAGTAAAAGTTAATTTTCACTTTGTAGTACAAATTATTATTTTTCAATCATTTATGAAAATCAGTTTCGTTATTTCCTATCAATTCGTGAATTTTCTATATCGTGTATTAATGTATGCTTCAAGATAAACACTTGCAACGCTGACTTGTGTAACATAGAAAGTAACTTGTTGCTTTCGATATTGAACGAATGTATTTCTACCTCTTTATCGATGAGGATTTAAACAATCTTGATATAAGATTGAGAGAATGAGAAAATTTAAATAATCTTAATGTAAATCTGATAATAGAATGTAACATAATATTCGAGATTCATATATTATTTTTATATATGAATGTACGTTTTTGACTACATATCATCTAAGCAAGATGCAAAAATTAAATAAATTAAAATATTATTAAATTTTAAATACAATTTTAAATCTGAAAGATTCATGTCAAAAATGATTCTTTTTAATTTTTATTTCTTTTTCTAAAAAAAAAATATTTGAAAATCTTTAATTTTTTTAAAATAATTTTAATTTTTTCTAATAAAATATTCATTGTATACGATTACATAAATGTTATAAGTATTATTGATAGTTATATTACAGAAATTATAATATTTCAGTTACAGATATCTAAAAATTTAAGATATAATTCTTCAAATTAAAATAAAACGAAAATCAAGAATTAAAAAATTTGCGGATTTATTTTTTAATTATTTTATCTAGTTTTTTTTTTAGTTCATTGGCAGGAATAATCTAAAGATTTTCGTCAATTTTTAATTGTCGAAGTCTAAAAAACAAACGCATTTTTTTTTAATTTTTATATTATTTTATTTTAATTTAAATTCTTGAATTCTTGTACCTAATCAAATCGTAAAATTACAGTAAATTTTGTGATCAAGATTATTGTTTTTTTTCAAATATTTTTCAACTGCTTTAAATATCATAGAGCAAAAATAAAACAAGTCAAATATACATATTGATTCACTTTCCTTCCAACTGCAAAATTTCTTTAATTATTATTATATTCTCTTTAATTATGCTCGTTAAAAAACACAAACAATTGAAAAATTCCTAGGACTAAAGGCAATGATTCCAGAGACGGAAGGATGGTTCCAGAAGAAAAAAGAAGAAACGTAATTGTTCATTCAAAAATTTGCCTACAGGTTTTAAGAGACAACACGGTGCAGTGGTACGGCTGGTCGTTTTATCTTGCCTGGCTGGGGGTGGCTACGTGTTTAGGCACGATGACGCTGTTCCTGATCGCGGCAACCTGCCTGCGGCGGGAGCATGCTCGCGAGCAGGCACAGAACATACAATACATCATGCCAGGTGACGCGCAAACGCTGAAACGGCCGTACTAACTTCCCCCCTCTTTTTTTTTGGAATGCGGCTCTAGGTTCTGAAGGACAACTCACTAATCTCGTACGACTGGTCGTACGTGGTCGCTTGGGTCGGCGTCGGTTGGTCGTTGGTCAGCGCGATCTTGTTTAGTGCCGCGGCGATTTGCTTGAGGGGCGAGAGAATGCGCGAGGAGGCGATGAACATGCAGTACCTCATGCCTGGTACATATTTAACACCTTTTGCTTTTGCCGAACGAACGCGATTGGCTCGTGTGGATTCCTCTTAAGGTCAAGAAGGTAGAGCTGGGTCAAGGCATGATTTTTTAGTTTAGTTAGTGAAATTTTAACTTGTGAAGCTTTGGGGATATATTTTAAGTTATGCATATGTGAAGTTACAATATTTTATGGATTACGGTAAATATTTTATGATTGCAAAAAATTCTAAGAAAACAAAAAATATTGATTTTTATTTTTAATAGCTTTTTTATTTTTAATATAAGCTTGAGTTTGTTTATATTTGTGCTGAATATAGAAAAAGATAGTAAATAAAAGAAATAAAAAGAAAAAATAATTGAGATCCAAAAAAAAGTATATCTATAAGATAATAATGCAAATATAAAAATTTTTTATTTTTTTGGTTTCTTTTTAATGGAATTTTTATGTATATATTTGTGATATTTTTCTAACTAAAATAAGAAAAAACTTCATGTAATTTAGATTATATTTAATAGAAAGAAGATGTATAATAAACAAAAAAGTTATTATTATTTATTAAATACGAAAATAATTCAAATTATATCTTGTTATCTTATTTTAATTAAAATTATTATTTTCACAAATAATAATTGGTTTATAATTTCATTGAAAAAAAGAAATAAAATATTATCATTACGTTAGTATTATTTCACTAAATTTTCAGATCGAATTATATTCGTGAAATCAATCTTTATGGTGTTTCAAGAGATGTTTTCTTCCAATTCCATAGTAAATATGGAATTTTAATAAAATCGTGAATCGATTTTGAAATTATAAAATATTTATTATATCAATTCTGGAAAGGAAATTTTAATTTTGATTTCTTGAAACTTTTCAAATTTCAAATTTCAATAAATTCATATTTAACTAATAAAAAAAATAATTATTTTTGCTTGCAAAAATCCAATTAAAATAAATCTAAAATTTATACATATTTAATTAGATTATTATTTTCAATATTTTAATAAGTTATTTGTATAAATTATCTTTTATCTAGATTTTGAGAGTTTCAAATAACATAAAAGATAACAAAAAATTTTGAGGTTAGAAAATTAATTTTATGTTATAATTAAAATTAAAACTAAACTGTATTAGAGAATTCAAGTATTTCATTTAAAAATTTGAAAATTTTAAAATTTGTAAAATTTGTAAAATTTTTAAAATTGAAAATTTTTTTCTAAATTGAATAATATTAACATTTTTAATTTAAAAGAAATACAAATAGACAAAATGAAATATTGTAATAATAATTCAGTTATTGATATGCAATTTTATTTTCATCTTTTTTTTTTTTTTTTTGTAATTGAACAGATGTTTTTGTGAAAATATTTTTGACCATAAAAAAGGAATCTGTGCGAGCATCGTGTACCACTAACTTTTATTCATGATTACTGGGTTGACGAAAATGATGTTCCTTGGTTTAAAAAATCTACTAACTTAAATTGATTCAAAATATATTAGAAGTTTAACGAGAAAAATTGTTAATATAGAAGCAATAAATGAAAAATTCATATCGCTATATAATATGAAGATAATTATGGCATACATTATGACTTGTCGTTTTAATTAAATTAATTAACTCATATTTAGAAAAATATAGTTATAAATATTTATTCATTATATGTATATTCAGTCACTTCTTGCAGTGTATATTAGGTAGTTATTCTCATTTCATGAAAGAAGATAATTCTCTTGGACTTAGTGAAATGATTAATTTCACACAGAACTAATACATAATAAACATTAAATGATTGAATTCTCAATCTCTCTTTGTCTTTCTTTAACTTTTATTCTTTATAATCGTTATCGACAAAGATGAAATAAGGCTTGAATTCCGTATCTTTTATATACATGTGTATTGAATTATTGGTCCAGAGTATTGAATTCATGATAAATATAATATATAATAAATAACATCGAAAAATTAACTTCAACATAATTAAATTTAATTTGATGCAATAATTGACATCTAATAGCATCTTTTAATAAATAATATTAATAATCTTATATAATATTAATAATTTTATAATAAATAATGCAAGAAGTTAATTGAAGTGAAACATGAAAATTTTATTAAAAAAGACCATTTAATTTTCAGTTGCTTCTATATTAACAAATTCGATATTAAATGTTCAACTATATAAGATGATCGATTATTATAATTGAATATGATCCATAAATCCTATAAATAGATCTTATCACGAGAACAAACAAGTGATCATTATATTAAGTACAAAAGTAATGTATAAATGTCAAATAATTATAAATTTAACAAATGTGTCCCAAACTAATCGATAATTATAAAGAGATTAAAGTACTGACAGGGAATGAGAGAAATTATTGCCCGCTTATTTAACATTTTAATCAGAAAAATTGGCCTCTGTACGAAAATTATACATTTATTATTATTACAATTGTATATAAAATAACGATAGACCCTCAACTAGAGTTGTTTGTTAATTAAAATACTCTCTGTAATCGAGTATAAATTCGATTGTAAAGCATTATCGTGAGAAGAAGAATGTTCGATATTCGTCTTTGTGAAACTCTTACTCGATCTACTCACGGTCTATTTCCATCGTGGATTAAAGCAATTTTGTCACGCTCTGATCCTGGAGAAAACTTTCTACATAAAACAATTTCGATCGATCATCGATTTATGTACTTTGAGATACTTCATACTATTTCATTTTAATTTTAAATTTTCTTTTCATTATTAATAAAAAAAAAAAGAAATCGGTAATCAATATCACCAAGAAAATATTATTCATAGACTATGTATTATAAACTTTTAATTGAAAAAGAAACGAGTTAATTTCTCATTTGAATTATCAATTTCTTAGATTTAATAACTTTTTTAATAATTTAAAAGTTCACTTATTCATACTTTTTTTTTTATATAAATTGCTAATTTTTTTATGATGATAATGAACTTGATAATTCGTTTAAAATACTGGAGAAAATATGTAGAACTACGAGACATTTACAGGTGTGTTTTAATTAGCCCCTTGGAAAGTGACACACTTGCCTAATTTTACGCTCGATACTCTGACACCTGTTGCTTAGTTATTGATACTTATTTGATCTTATTGATACTTATATTATATATGTATAATATCATTCGATAAACAATATATCATAAAATTTCAATAATCATAAGATTCAATGAATAATATTATTAAGATAAAAATAATGAGGAAGAAACAATAATTTAAAAAAAAAATCAAAAAATTTATTTATTTATTTATTTATTTATTTTTAAATTACAGATATATTTTTTTACTTACATTGATATAAACTTATTATTTTCTATTTCTGTTAATGATTGTATTAAAATGGCAAAAAAAAATTTAATATTCTAATATAGATATAAAGCCAAACAAAAAGTAGTAATTTAATAATAAATATATATAGATACAAGTAAATTCTGATAAAGAAATATAAAATGTAAAATCAAATACTAATTATAATTATGCATCGATAAAATACAAATAAAAAATAAATTTTATTTAATTCAATTTTTATCATTTTAAAGATAATTATAATTTTGATGTTTATAATATATATAAAAATTCTTTGAAAAATATATATCAATATATCGTTTGAAATAAATTCAAATAAAAATATATTTTTAATAATTTTATTACAACTTATTACATTGCAATGTACTTTATTGATTTCTATTTATCTTAAAACGATGTCTCGAATATGTTATATCGAATATAATATTTATCAATAATCTCTAATTTCTGTATTAGCAGAATTCATGTAAAGCTGTTAACAGAATCCAATTTACACAATTTATATTCACGAAGATGAATAATCAACAACATGCTTTATCTCACAAAGGAGAATATCATATTTCTAGTAGTATGATTGTTTGAAACAAAAAAAAACGTGTTAATTTTATCATTTCTTGCTGCGAATCGAATAATGAATAACAATATTTATAGAAGAGAAAGTTATTAGTGAAACTTGTTTGTAATTATCGGATAAATTTAAAATATTAAAAATTCGAAATTGAATAGTTATGATTATAAAAAGATCGGAAATGTTATAGCGAAAGCAATTGGAAATTTTCTTTAAAATTAATGTAAATAATCAATTGAAACGTTTTATATTTATTTATCTTAAATGATTAAAACTACCTAATAATATTTGCAAAAGTAGCTCTTAATATATTATAATCTTTTCGTATTAAATAATTCGAAGTTTCTCGATAACAGAGTTTTCACAGAAAATTACAGAATATATTTTGAAATTTATATATTGAATAGAATTGTTGAAAAATTTACAAACAAACTATAACGTTGTTATTTATCTATATGTCAGAATTGATAAATTTTATATTTCAAGTATCAAATGAAAATACATTATTCTATATATTTATTTATTTCCTTAAATTCTCTCTAAACGCTTCATTTAAAAGTTAAAAATTGCAATTTGTCCACTGATGCTAAAATTTTTTAAATAATTATCTAATATCCTGTATAATTACATTTAAAAATCATCATATGCATGACAATTATTATTATTTATTTATTTATTTTTTTTCATACTTTTAGTATATCCTCAAAAGCAACAATACGCTTATGCTGGTTATCCAGCACCGGCAGCGTATCCAGGACCTTATTATCACGGATCACAGTATGGACCCTACAACTACTGAAGAAGATCTGTATCATCTCTATTAATGGAGGAAAGTGTCTAGAGCGCGAAATATTCTGAAACGTGCTCATAATGAATAAAACATTAAATATTTGGCAAACGATGATTCCCGAAGGGAATGTTAAAAAAAAAAAAAAAAGAAAAAAATGAAACGAACAAAAAACGAGGACTCCTGGAGGTCGATCGTAAATCCCAAATCGTACCTGCACGAAGGAAGAAAAAGAAAAAGCAGAGAAGAAGGACGACCTTGGGTCCCACCCTAGATATAATTTATCACTTACTTTAAACGCCACGTTACGGACGTTCTGGTGCATATATACCCGTCTGGGTCCCACGATCTTCCATCTCTTTCAGTTTTCTCTTTCAGCAGGTGTCTGTTTTGGTATGTGATCGCTCGTATGGGATTCGCGAAAAAGACAGTTGCTCAAAAACAGTCCGCGTACTTAGAACTGAAATGATTATATATAATATTATTTTTTTCTTTCTAAAATCTAATATTTGTACTACATTATTCTTTGTACGTGCTGATCGCGCTAGGACAATAATAATGATAATAGTAATAATAATAATTACATTTTGAGCGTGGGAGAGATATATTTGATTATATATTTAATTGGCTATATGATCTTTCTCAGGGGAATGAGAAACGATTTATCGTTCGACATTTAATCATATAATTAATAACAATATTTCGATGTCGAATTTTTGAAAGTACTACATGACTTTAACCGTCAATTTTTAAAGTGTCTTACTTTCAGTTACCTTTTTTTTTTATTGTAAATTATATTTTTAAATAATCTATATTTGAATTTTAATAAAAAAATTTGTAAATTATTATAAACAGAATAATTATGATAAAGAGAAATCGGTAATTAAAAGTAAGAGTTAATAAATCGAGGAGAAAATATGTCAAATATTGAAATTTTTATTTATGTTTTAAGAGAAATTTCAATCATGGTTGTTGTAAAAAAAATTTGGCAATATGGTGCAAGAAAAATATTCGTTAATTATATACAGATCAATTTAAATGGTAGAAAATATAAAATAGGTGCATTTTCACAAATATCACATTTCATAATAAAATTCGCATCATCGATTCACTAGACTTTCTAACATATATATATAAATCTTTTTTTTCTCAATAACTATATGTAAAATTTGTTGTTCCGGTATCTTTACGTATGGTATTAAGAAATAATAAAAATATTCTAATTACTTTATACATATTTCTTTAAGTAAATAAATTAAATTAGATTTATTCCAAATACTATTTTTTAAAATTGTTATAATTATAGTGTGAAATTTAGATAAATGAACTAAAAAAATAATAGTATAAGTATAACTGTTTGTTTATGTACATTCGGAATCGTTTATTGTTTCTAGAAACAAATACTATAAAGAGTTCTAATCCTTTATGAATAAAAGGTGCAACGTATCATTAAAAGTTGTTTAATATATTTGATACGTTATAAACGTGTGAATCATTTTCTTTTATTTACCTGTCAAATTCCTATTTAATCTTATTTTTCTTTATCTGAGAAACGACGATTTATAAAATTAAACCGGTCTCATTTTCATTTATTTCTTTCTATAAAATACAAATTTCAAAATATATTTGAACATATCAAATAAAGAGAATTTTAAAATTTTATTGAATTGGCACAATTAACCAATAAAAATTAAGAATTCTATTAGTCATGGAGAGTTTCAAAATGGCGACGCGAATTTAACATCTACAATGGCTACTTCGCGGCATTCATTGTCAGTTCAGTATAACTTTCTAACGGTGTAAGAAGATGATGAACTTTGTTTCACAATTTTTTTTAATTTCTATCAGTATTTTAGTAATCGATTCAAATATTGTAACACAAAAAAGTTTTCAAAATGAAAAGGTATATAATACGCGTAATCTGAATATTTTTATCGTTTGTTCATTTTTATTTAATCCTTTCACTTTTGCTATTCATCTCTAAAAGACATCTTTTGCAATACATTTCATTGATTATCGTTAAAATACATCAGTTACAGTCATGAAATGATTCCAGTACAATCACAAGCCGACCGAGTTATCAAGGAATCAAATAATCAAATTGTCAAATCTGTCAAATGTTAGTCATTTAAATGAAATTTTAGATAACATATGCATTGTGAGAATTGTTGGAACACCAGAACATACAAAAGTAAAAAATGTAAGTTGAAATAATGTCAATAACAGAAATATTATAAAAACACAATATAATTCAGCAATATTTTTAAATTACATTTATAATATATAATAGAATTGATTTTAATTATGATTTTAGTAATTCTAATCTACTACAAAATTTATATATATATAAGTATGATGTAATTCTAAAAAAAAAACTATTTATTGATAAGATAAACTTTGTTTTTCTATAAAGTATATCAAGAAGTCATTGGAAGATCTTAATTGGACTGTGGAAATTGATAGTTTTAAAGATGATACTCCAATTTTTGGGTCTTTAGAATTCAAAAATGTAATTGCAAAGTTAAATCCCAACGCAAAAAGGTATTTGGCATTGGCTTGTCATTATGACTCAAAGTATACTAAAGAACGGAATTTTATTGGTGCTACAGATAGTGCAGTACCATGTGCTCAAATGATTAATTTAGCTAAAGTTATGAAGAATTATTTAGAGTCTATAAAAAATGTAAGTAAAATTTTATTAATAATATAATTTTTATTTAAATTTTTATAATTATTCTTTTTTGCTTTCAGAATGATATCAGTTTAATGTTTATATTTTTTGATGGTGAAGAAGCTTTTAAAGAATGGGGTCCAAAAGATTCTATTTATGGTGCAAAACATTTAGCTAAAATTTGGCACAATAATTATACTATTTTTAAAGATGGAGAAAATATTTCTGAATTAGATAAATTAGTAAGTATTAGTAAACATGTAAAAATTTTTATAAATATTTATTTTCATTTTTTTTTATAGGATTTACTAGTTTTGTTAGATTTAATAGGTGCACCAGATCCAACATTTTATAATTACTTTAGCAATACAGAAAAATGGTATTCCATATTAATAAACGCTGAAACTAAATTAGCTTCTTTAAGAAAGTTTGAATCATACTCTTATGGACAGCCTACACAAACATACTTTCAACCATATTCTGTAGAAGCCTATATTGAGGATGATCATATTCCTTTTTTACATCGTGGTAAGTATTAACTTCTGTATATATATATATATATATATATTTTTTATATATTTTTTTCTTATAAAATATTTGTTTCAGATACTCCTATTCTTCATTTGATACCATATCCTTTTCCAATTGTTTGGCATAAATCAAGTGATAATCGTAATAATATTGACTTAAAAACAACAGAAAATATAAATAAAATTCTAAGAATTTTTGTAGCTTCATATTTACATATTAATATATAATTGCTAATTAAGAAATTTTTATATTGTTATAAGACATTTATTTTTATTGCATAACAATATTAAAAATATTATAGAAAAATAATATAAAATTTAATAACATAAAATAATATAATAATAATAATATAAATAATATAAAATTAAATAACATATATACGTAAAAATAATGATATTTTATGATAAACTTTGAACAAAAACTTGAAATTATTTTAAGATTAATTTATAAATTTTATAGTTTGAAAATTTATATGTTGCAATTTTATACTCTTTACATATGCCTTTTGTAAGATAAATTATTGTTAAACAAATTATTGTAAATTTAATATTACGTACTTATATGTATAAATTTACATGTATAAAAATAGAAAAAACTTATATAAAATTATATTATATATGAAAAAGAATAAGAAATATTAATTTTTTACTATAAATAAAATATCTTCACTGAATTATGAGCGAGATAATTTCAATAAAAATATAAGTTTAATATGGAACGAATTATAATTGCAAATATTGCTTTAAATATGAATGTGAAAATGAAAACAAATATAGTATCGAGGAAATCAAACACGTGACTTCCGGAAACATGTTTAGAATAAGAATTCAAATCTCTGATGAAATTTTATACATAATAATAGTATATAATAATAGTATTATGTTTAATTTTTAATATTATATATATATTAAAAAATTTGACTTATTATGTCATTCGTAATATATCAAAATGTTATTTTACTTTTTTCTTAAAATGTAATCGATTTTAAAATTTAATTTTGATTAATTGATTTACATCGTAATAATTTATATAAAAAATATAAACTAATAACTTATCTTTTTTGAATAATGACTTATTATAAAAATTTTAAAAAATAAAATATATTTTCACGAACGTAACGGTCAATGATTGAATAAAGTGAAAGTGGGTATTCTATTGCGAGGTTTGGTAGGCCTGATCGAGGTCATTGTTCGTACGGGCGCGCCCGACTAGGCTTTCGTTCCAACTCCAGCCGAACGTAGACGATTTTGGCCGAGCATGGTCGAATGTAACCGAAACATATGATTGGTGGAAAGCCGACGCGACGGCAAAAGACATGTCGCACCGCTCGAGGAAGAGACAACGCCGACAGAGATGTTGAAGTTTATCAGAGGGAAGGGCCAACAACCTACGGCCGAGCGACAGAAACTACAAAAGGATCTTTTTGCCTTTCGAAAGGTGAGTCTTGATTAAAAGTTTCATCTATATCCGGCCGGCGAAATGTGCCGACACTTTCTTCTACTCGCCTGCTTCTATAAAACATTACAATAGTGTTCGCTTAGCTGCAACAGCTCCAGACTTTATAGTTCCAATTATTTGGAGAAATGTAGTGTAGAAATTTCTTTTTCCAGCTTACTCAAATCTCAATAATGTGGAAATTAGAATGGAATACAACAATAAATTATTTAGTATATGCAATTCTTCATAAAAAAGATCCAGAAGCTGTTGCAGCTAAACGAGCACTACTCTATGTAGCCGAATACCTCATCGCCGATATGAACGTGAAGCCAGTTCTAAGAACTGGTGGGGATATGGATTTGCAATTAAGCGGGTAAAAATTGTTATAGTTAAGCGGTTACTATTGTATTTTTCTAGACGTCGAGATTGAATGAAATAGATTAGCCTCGCTTTTATGACAAAACAATATTACCATGGATAAATATCCATGTTATACATATTTAAATATTCATGTGCTGGAGTTTTCAATGGAAAGCGAACAATTTCGATGCATTGCATAGAAGCTATTTTGTATTTTTTTTATTCAGAGGAAAGTGAGAGTATACATTGAGATAAATTCGTTTTCATTTTTATATTTAAAGTATAGCTCTTGAGGTTAAATCTGGTTCTTTCATTCGATTATTTCAGATTTTTGAAAGAACATTATAAATCATTTTTCTCATATATATATAAATTTTTAATATTTTAATTGAAAAAATACTAATCAAATCATTGAATTTGATAAACGTCAGAAGGTTAACCTTATCAGACAGCTATCGGTTTTTAAACCAAAGCGATCCTTCATTTCTTTCTGTTTTATTTACACGTTCATTGTTTATAAGTCAACAAGCTTGCAATTGAAAGTTTATTCTGTTACCATGTCAGATAGTAATCTCGTGTTTCGTGATATCACGATGTTGACACACGATACGTTTTACAGAATACAAGCTCTTTTTACGCGTAAGCTTCCCGATCGTTTTACAGATAAATCTTGTCTTTAAAAAAAAGAAAAAGAAAAAAAAACGTAAAAAGATAGTGAATATCGCGACTCAAGGAGATTCATAAATATACCATGATATAATTCATATATAATAGATAAAAAAAACTTGTTCCAAATTTATTTTCGATAAAAGAATATGAATGAATTCGACTTTAATTACTAGTTATCAAATTATACATAACATATAAAATTCCAAGATTTGCCATTTTCATAGGTTACTGACATTTATGAATAACAAATATAATAAATACTTTTTATAATATTAAACGAATATTTAAAAAAATTTTTTGTTTTTTTCGTTTTCGAGTTGATCTTGTTTAAATAAAATCATTTTCTATTAATTTGAAAGAAGCGAAATATATTTAATCAACACAACGCTATCCAGACTACTTTTTAAGCTGCTTTCATACGATGGAATATTAAGATTCTAAAATTGCCTTCATCCAAGAACATGATACAGCGTATTTTAAGAATGAACAGTGCGGAATCAACAGGTCGATACCCGAACGTAATCGATACCGAAAGTCTAGAAGACGACCAGTGGCCGAGACACGGTGCAAGAGAGTCAGGATTATTGTGGTCGTGTATGGTGTGTGTGGTGCGTTTCTTTAGCGGTTCTGTCTCGGTTGGCTGTCATCGTCGCCAGCCATCGGGTGCACTGTCGCGAAACCTTATCGCGGTTTAATTCTCTGCCTGCTGGATTCGAAGTTTGACGACACGGATTGCGAAAATAGACGTAAGTGCAATCAGGTCGTGCCGGTTCTGATCGATCCGTGATGAAGGACGATTTTTCTTTGATACTTCGTGAATCCCTTAAACTGTTACAATTGAAATTGTATATTATTATCCCATGTTTCTTTCATTTTATTATTTTTCGTAACACGGGAAGTATACAAATTCACAATAAGACTATTTCATTTGATATGTATAATGTTACTTTCGTTCGGTCAGAAAATAAAATAGGAAATGTAGGTTAATCTATAGGTTAAGCAATTACAGACAAAAGTAGCACACTTTGCGCGGTAAGATGTACGAGTTGAAAAAAGTAGAAAGCCCTCAGCATGGAGGGTGCTTGTTGCTTTAATTAAAGCGGTCACATTTACGCAAACTTGATGTCTTCAATATACAAATTGGAATGATCGAAATACGAAATAATAGTTAATTTAGATTACATCATTGTTAAACGTTCCTATTTTATGTCGAAAAAAGGTGTGGAATAACAATTTACAAAAAAAAAAGGATAATCTTGAAATCTTTAGAAATTATAATAAATATTTTAGAAAAAGACAAAAAAAATCATTTTTTAGATGTTATAATATAATATAATATATAATATTTTAAATGTTATAATATTTTAAAAGTAAAAAAAACTGTGTTAAAATAAAAAAGAATGATTATATTTTAATAATTTCTTTCCAAATTATTTCGGACATATTGTTTGATCTTTAAAATCGATTTTTTTATATATATCGATAATTTTATATATTTTTTCTAGAAAGAAAAAAATATGAGGGAAGATATTATCGGTTTTCTGTGCAAACAAATGTGTGATAAGATGCTTAGCCCTTTTCATGTTCAGTTTTAATATATAAGCATGAATGTACCGTTAGACTAAGCTGGTTGAGTTATGGACTTGCAACATGCGGATTATTTCAAAGATTTTAATGTAAATTAATAAGACAAAATGATGATTACATAAATGATTACATATATTATTTCATTCAATTATTATTTTATATTTAGTAATTTTAGTTATAGAAAATATAAAAATATTTTTATTTGCTAAGATGTGATTATAATATTATATTAAAATATTAATAATTAATTTTTTAGAATGTTTATTCTTTATAAGTATAAAGCAAATAATAAATTCTGGAATATATATTGAATATTCTAGAAAATTATGTACTTATAATACCAACATGAAACAAGTGTTCATATTAAAGAAATGTCACATCGAATTATCGATCCAATAATAACTTTAATATTTTTAGGAATAAAATTAGAGCATTGTACTTGATTGAATATTTTTCTTATCAAAATGAACTGTAAAAGTTTTGTAGTTATATATTATCTAATATTATCTTAGATAATATTACAAAATTTAAAAATTTATGAAAATCTTTTATAGTTTTATTATTGGTTAACTTTATAATTTCATACAAATTGATAAAATCAATATTTCAAAAATTGACTTTTTTTTTTCTATATATGATTATAAGAATATTCTTTAATAGATAATTAAGATAATTTTAATCGAGATTAGACTTATTAAAATTATTAAAATTAACTTTATACTTTAAATATATTTATCCATAGAATTGGATATATTCAAAAGTATTATAAATTAAATTGTTATTACCGTATAGTAATTTTATTAAAGTAGAATAATATTTGAATATTTATTTCAAAATTTAACTAAAAATTAAATTAATAAATAAACTTATTAAAATAACATTTTTGTATCACAAATAATCTTAATTTGAATCAATTATTTCAAATATTACTTTTTCTATTATTATTTATCATGGAAAATAAGCAAATAAATGTAGAAAAAATAAATTAATTTGAAAAATAAACTTTTTATATTTTTTAATTGAAAATATATTTCTTCATATTCTCACAAATTTATTAAATTAATTAATTCTTTTAAAATTTTAATCAATATAGAAATTATTAATTCAAATTCCTTAATTTAAATTAAGGAAATATATTATTATATTATATTATATAATTTATATTATATTAATTACATTCATATTAATTATATTATTATTTAATATAAAAAATATTAAATGTTTTATTCTAAGTATATAAACATTTTATTCATTCAATTCATTTAATTCAATTCATTATTATTTAATATTATTCTATTATTATTTTTGAATTGTATAAAAATTAAAATATTTTTAACATATATAATTAAATAAAACGTAAATGTATAAGATATTGAAGTAGTATGATTATGTATACGTAAATGTGTGTACGTCGGAACGAGTAACCTGAGCAATAGATGCGTGATGAGGATTGAACGAATGTTTACGATTTCATGAATGCACGTGAATGTACGTGTCTCGTGAAAATTTGTTTCCATAAATTTGACAATAATATATATTATATGTGTGAAATTTATGAAAACATCAAAATCTTAATGAATTTTAATATACCAGATATTTCGTAGATTCAAGAAAGTTAACAGAATGTTAGGTTATAATTTTTTAATTTCAAAAAATTCTTTCGTAAAAAATCTATTGCTGTAAATAAAATTATTATTAATATCTTATAGCATGAATTAATAATAATATAGCATGAATTAATAAAATTAATAAAAAATTAAAATATAGTTACAATATAGTTTTTAAATAATTGTACGTATATATATATATATATAAATTATAATTTCCAACATTAAAAACATTAATAATGCAAAATGCAATTATACAACAATTATAATACTAATGCAATATATGCAATATGTGTTAGTGCAAAAAATATTGAAAAATAAAGAATTTATTTTTTATATAAAATTAATTTTTAGGGATAGTGAATGAATTTAATTCTATAGAGGTGAGATTAAAATTAAGTCAGATTAAAGATTATCAGAGAATCCTTTGTTATTCTGTATCGGCTTATGCTTTCGTATCATCTTACTTTAATTTTTTCAGTATACGAAAAAATCTCTTAAAAATGAAAAGTATGACATCTTTTTTCATGAAAATTACTTGACAATGAGTCAAGGTCTTATTTTTTCCTTGGTGTTGCACAGCTGTTTCTCTAATCGTATTGTAAAAACGCGTCAAATGGTATAAGGATAATCAAAATTTTGAGAATTTATCAAGAATGTTTAGATAAAAAAATATCTCGGCATTTTTTAAATTTTTAACAATCTATTATCGGTTATTTTCGAACATTTCAATATTTTGACGTAGCAAATTTATTTTACATCCAATTTAACAAATATATTTTTCGTTATAATACATATCCCAATCGTTATTTTGAAAGATAAAGATATTTCAATTACATTAGTTACGAAATAGAAGCATTAGAGAATCATCGTTTTTTCAAGGTTTCGCTATTATGTTAATCTCTCTTTGATATATTAATCATTAGTTGTATTCTTAGTAGAGAAGAATGTATTGATAAGGAAGAACATAATTTTCATCTTTCGTCCTTCGGAAATATAAACAAATTATTCGAACCTCGTTCGATAAGAAAATCTTATCGAGAATAACAAAGACGTTTAAGAGATTAATTTCTAATGCTTTCATCCTATGTAATAGGATATACATTGTTACAAAGTGTAATACAAAAATGTTTTAATTGCTGAACGTAAAAAAGATTCTTTATGATTCAGTTTACAAAGTAAGGGGATAAGTACTTCTGTATCATCAATCGATAAAACCGCTCGATTAACGGGAATTTACGAAATCTGACTCATCGATGAGTAATCGGTGCGCTTCTCGGTCAAAAATTGGTGCCTGTGGAATTGATGCCATTGTAAAAGTTATATCGAGAAAGTCGGAAATGATTGTCATGAATAATTAGCGTTAATTACATTGAAAACGAGTCGCGGAAAAGGACGATCGTTAACCCAAGTATCGTTGTTTCTCTTAATTAAGTTTGCCTCATATTCTATTTAATTGCCACGTTACAGTTCACATTTTTTTTTTATTTTTCATTTTAACTATTTGAACGGATGAACTTGTATTAAGCGTTACAGATGAATTTTTCGTATCGCTCAAAAGATAATTGGCTTTTTTTTTGTTATTACTTAATTATTATTTCTATAATTATTTATAATAAATTTTTTTTTCTTATATTAGTAATATGATAAATATTATAGTAATAAATTTTTTCTTATATCATATGTTTAAATATCTTGTTTTTTATGATGCAAAATAAATTTAACAAGTAAAATTTTATTTTAAAAGAAATTTAAACGTAAAAGTAAATTTTTTTTAAGATTTATAGCACCAATGTGCAGATTTGATTAATATTAGCTAGTATATCTTTTATTTTAAATGTAATAATTATATTTCTCAAATATTTTATTCTCAACACTATTAAATTTAACGTACGACGAACGCAATAGTTGCAGTCAGGAAATCATTTTGTGCACAACGGTACATCTTTTCATATACATGAATCTATCTTTTTCTTTTTTTAAATAAAAAATTATTTTTATTTTTTCTTTGAAAGAAATATTGCTATTAATATATTCATATTCTTTTCATGAATTAGAATTATTTATTTTAAAAATATAATTAAGTTTAGTAATTATTAGAATATAAATTTTTATTTATTAATATGATAAAACATTTCGTCATTTGTTGTGATTTATAATTTAATAAAGACAAAAATTTTTTAAATATTATTAATATAAAAATATAAAAATATTTTGTAAAATCATTTAAGTATAATAACGACTTTAATAATGAAATTTTTAAAATAAATATTAAAAAAATCTATTTTTTTTATATTTTGTAAAAAATAAAATTTTTACAACATACAAACACATATTTCACATATTTTCATAAAATATCAATTTTATGAAACAGTAAATTAGAAAATACAAACAGAAAATATATATATATACATATAAACATTTTAAACATTTTATGATAAATTCATATTATCATTTGCAATTTTATTATTTGTTTATTTCTTTTTAAATCATTTAAATTGTACTTTAAAAATTTCTTTTATTAAAAACAAAGAGAATGTAGGTGACCTCCTTCAACTGAGACGTCCTGTATACTATTTCACTTCTCTTATATTTCTGCCTTCTCTGTTATCATCATTTTTGTTACACATCATCAAGGTATAATCCTGATGACTTGCTGCACGAATACATATTATTAATAACAAATAATTATCTGTTTCTTTGTATGATATAAAAGTGATATTTACTTTATATTTATTTTATTTGTAAAAAAATTTATTTTGTTTATTGATTATATAGATTTGTAAAAAAATAATATTTTTGTTTATTATATATATCCTTGAATCCATTATTCTGATTGATATATATATCTGGAAAATAATAACATAATGTAATTTTAATATCAATAGTCATTGTTGAAAATAAAAAAGAAAAAATATTTAAGCAAGTAGTTATTTTAATATTTTTGTTTATTTATTTAAATTTTATCAATTTAAACTTTTATCTTCTTTTATAGAAATATTAAAATGTACGTGTTGGTTCAGTGTGAAATTATTCACTTCATTGGGTCCAAGAATGGGTTCTCTCTTTCCAGTGGTGGGGATGACTTCTTAATGTATATACGCGAAAAATATCCGAGCACATAATGGATAAACACTGTATTTGTGAATTCAACATGTGGTTATATCGACTATATAATAAAAGTAGTTAAGGCAAATAGATGGAAGTCGAGTAAAATAGATAAAAGATTATTAATTCTCGTTAAAATCTAATCCTTGAGAAATTGATAACTAATTAATTGTGAGATAAATTGGAAATTGAATATTGAATTAATCATTCATTTAATATTTTCATCTTAGAAGAATTTCTTATACGATAGTCATTTGAACTTGGGATTATTTTGAACTTTAATTTTATGTTCTATTTACAGGTAATATGATTTTAATATATTCTGCTTATGAATTTTATGAATAAATTGATATTTATCGAGGATCAAACTTTTGCCTTCGAGCACGCATATATACAACAGCGCAGATAGCGACTATTTTTAGCGACTTTCTCGTATAAATAGTTCGCTGATTAAGGCAGACAACATACAATTATTATAAAGAATGGTCAGACGAAATGACCAAAGCAATTTATGAATCGAGTATTATGATGTCATTTAACACATTAAATAAGAAGCTTTCAGAAAAGCTTAAAGATATTTTATGTATATTCATGTGGATTTTTGTTTCTAACTTTTAAAATATATTTGGTTTTATAAATAATAATAAAATATAGAATTCATTTATATAAATAAAAATACAATATCTTTGTAAATTTATAAGAATTAATTAAATTTAACATTGTTTATTATTCAATACTTTTTTATTTTATAGAAAGGTAAATAAATAACATTCTCATGTAAAAATTTATTTTATGTTCGAAATAAGAGAAATTATGTATTTTGGGTCAAAAGTGACTCGACGTCTGCCGTGCACATGATAACTTCGCAATCCGAAGGTTAAGGTGAAGAGATTGCAGATTTAATTTCATAAATTGATGACAGCATCTGTTCTTGTTCCATTTAAAATCGTTTCAACACATAAATGCGAGAATTATTCATTAGATACTAGGATAATTAAGATAATGAACAGTATAAATTGTATGAAATGTTACTCATTCACTATCTCTTATCGAATAAGAAATGTTGAATAACTGGTTAATAAATAAAAAACATTATATCTAAATGATTTAAACACAAAAAAATATTATTAACCATTTCGTTACGAAAGAATATTAAATAATCATAATGCTAAAAGCATACATAAAGCTATAAAGTAAAATCAATTATATTTCTATTTACATGGACATTTGTTGTGACAATGGTATAAGTAAAAAATTATGATTTTATGAAAAAGATTTTATATGAAAAAGAAACGATTTTGAATAATTTAATTGTAGTTAATTACTATAAAAACATCACATTAAAAAACTAAATTAAAAACGATTTGAAAATTTATTTACAATCACTTATTTTACTATAATTAATTATTTAAAAATATTTATTTAATTACTTCTTTTATGAATAAAAAATTGCTTTTTAAGTTAATTTAATTTTTAAATTAATTATTTAATTTTTAAATTAAAAATTTTATATTTAAAGTATTTCCTTTATTTCGATAGTACATAGCATAGCGAAAGGATTATACATCGAAATATTGGTTAAAAGCAATCCTAACCTATTCAGAATACTCAAGTATAGATTAATAATTATACATTGATTTTTTATTACCACTGATTCCGTTAACAGTTGTAATTACTCTGACTAATAACAATCATTTCCTGTTCTTTGCAGACGGTGCAACATGGATTCCCAAATAAACCCACAGCCCTCGCATGGGATCCGAGTTTGCGGTTGATGATCATTGGCACGGCATCCGGCGCCATTAAGGTGTATCCTTTTTACTCTCGTTCATTCTGTTGCTTTCTACTATCTTGCCTTTCTTTTTTCTTTATTTTCTCTTCTCTTTTAATCCTTTTTTCTCGATTAATAATTAATAATTCGGTCAAGGTATAGTCGATGCGCGATGACGTTCGTATCCATCAATAAATGATCGAAAGGCTTCGACAGCCATTGACCATAGAGAAACAGGCACGTGATTGAAGCTGGTTTCTTCTGGTACTTTTTCTCTCCATTGTAGTTACTAATTTTAGATATGGGATACTCGATATTTTGCAATCTCGATAAAGCTATTCCTCGATTCACGCCTCAACTTTTATATAATCGCATTTTTCATTCAGAAAAATACTTTCGTGATTTTTTTTTTTTTTTTTTTTTTAAACCCGTACATAGAACGAGGGAAAATACATTATCTTCCAGTGTCATTTAGTTTTCGCGAGAAAATTATGTTCGTTGAATTCTAAAGAGTATACTTGTTAAGTGACGAAATCGAACTTATTATTAAGAGTTAGAACTTATTATTTTTCGTGAGAGGATACTGCATGTGAAAGTATCGAAGTGTTAAGAAGTCATGATTAGAAATGTAAAATAATGTTCTAATTCTGATTTATAGAATATATATAAAGAAGAATGTTTTTTTTCCTTTTTAAAAAAAGAAATTAAATTATATCTAATTTCAGATTTTTATAAATATATAAAAATTTCTAATTTTTCAAAATTAATGAATGAATAGAACTTTAAATATTTCAATATCTCTTAAAACATAAAAAAATATTAGATTAGAATATTTTATTTAGAATATTTTAATTAAAAAAAATAGAATATTCAACTTATATTTTTTCACACACAGTACATCAGTTACAGTCATGAAATGATTCTAGTACAGATCCAGTACAAATTAATGAATGAATAGAACTTTAAATATTTCAATATCTTTTAAAACAAAAAAATATTAGATTAGAATATTTTATTTAGAATATTTTAATTAAAAAAAATAGAATATTCAATTTATATTTTTTCAGAATTTGAATAATTATTATATATTAGAGAAAACATCAAAATCTTTGAGATTGAAAGTTTGAGGCTATGATTTTATTCTCAAGAAAAGATTGGTATAAACGATGTAGAATTAAGAGGGCGCTTTGGTACATAGAAATCGTATAGAATCTTAAATTCAAGTCCCGGAATTGAATCTTTATGAGCTTCAAGTAGATTCTTTTATATTTTTCCTCGTTCGAGATATTGAATGCATGCAGGAAACGTGGATTTACGATTCTATAATATTTGTGATTTGATTTTTCGAAATGCAAATTTTTGAATATTTAAAGATGAATTTTAGGTTAGGTAATGTTCAAACTGAATAAAATAAAATGGTAAGCATAGAATTCCAGTAGGCAATTGAACTAATTTTTTTACAAAACAATATTATAATAAAAAAATTTAATTTTACAATATACAACATATGTAGTTTTACGAATTATATTTATTTTATTATTCTACTTAATAAAGATACGTTGATAAAGATTGTAAAAAACAAAATGATTTATAACTTATACTATTATTATATATAATTTATAACTTATAAATATTATTATTATTATTAATTGGTAAATTATATAACTTAAATTTTAGGATCAAATCTCGAGTGGGTTCGCTTATATTTTTTTTTTCATTCTTATAATGGAAAGATTAGAGTTCGAAAACGTTAAAATATTATGTGCAAGTATATAATTTGTGGAGAAATATAGATTGAAGATAGATACCAATCAAAATTAGAAATAATAGGATGATTATAGAGATATATAAGTATATTGCGGTAGAACTCGAAAGTTGAATGCAATTCAAAGTATGAAATTTCATATTATATCACGTCCATATTTGATCATAACTGTTCGTAAACGACATTGATCACGAATGAAAGCAATTCGTGACCAGTTATTAGATTTTCGTGAAGAATTATATATTGCATCTATATATATTATATTATATTTTTCATAATAAAAACGATCTTTATTTCAATGAATAATTTTATATTTTAATTTTTAATATTCTTAATTTTTATATTTTCCATAAATATACATTTTCAAATATTATTTCCACTTTTAGCTTGAAATATATCCATCGTTGATATAGACAGATTTTATAAACAAGATGATATTCTTTATCTCTGTTCTTCATTCTGTGTTCATTGTTCGCTGAACATCAGTGTGAACTTAGCATTAAATATATCATAAAGATACATTTAATTTATATTTAATTTAATTTATTCAAAATGTCATCATGTTTTTTATTGAAAAAAAAAATCGATGGTATAATATATTTGAAAGTTTAATCAATTGAACAGAGATTCTATCGTGTCATTTTCCAGGAATCACAAATCTTTGTCCTCTTCTTTTGTTCGAGCTTCGTCCTTGTAACAACACGCAACTCTGTAACTACTGTTTCTTTTAATGTGTAGTTGACCGCAAGAATTTTAAATCATTCCAGAAACATGTCCAATTCGAAGTTATGCAAAACAATTTTGAGATCTTTAAGATTCATTATCGAAGAAACATTTAGAAATTAATTAACGCGTAGAAATAACGTCGAAGACATATTTTTATTACATCGTTACCTAGTTTTGTGTCAGGTCGATTATTGATTCAGTAGGACCGTAATCAGAATAGTTCATTTCACATTATTAAAAAAATTAGAATTTTTATTGGAAATTTTATTATATAAATTTCTGTTTATAAAACATCGAATATTTAAAAATACATTTCAGGATTAAAATAAATATATATATTGATTGTAATATGATATTGATACGAATTGAGTTTGTATTATAAATAATACATTATAATATGTTTTAATGATTTTAATATGAATTTATTTAAATTTATATTAGTGTATCTTATTTATAATAATAAAAATAACGTATAATATTATTAAAGAACATAAAAAAATAATTTAGTATTGTTATATTAATATTATTGAAATGTATATAATATATATATAATCAATAAATAGATCATCAGATAAATTAAACAAAAATATAGTTTATCATAATGCTATAAATATTTTGACTTTCTCAAATGTTTATAAAATTGTACGATTTCCAAATAGATGGGAAAAAAGGAATTGTTACAAGAAGGATAACATAATACTTACATAAATCTTTAAAATCAGATTTTTTTCAATAATTATGGAATCAAAAATTAATCTATATAAATTAATTTTAATTAAGTTGCTTTTAATATTTATATTTACAAATATAAAAATAATTCTTTGAAAAATTATATGATATAATAATATAATAAATTTTAATTTATATATTTATATATATTATATATATATTTATATTATATTAATATATATTATATATAATAATAATTTAATAAATTTAAAAAATAGAAAACTCAAATGACAATTAAAAAATTAATAAATTTATATTTAAAAACAAATGACACGTGGACAAATTTATGGACAAATTTTATACTATCTTACTTTTAATATATACTTGGCAATTAAAAATAATAGAGTTATTTGCTCAAATAAATATTTATCTATTTATGTAATTATATTTCAATGTTTCTATATTATAATATTGTATCAATAATAATTTATGTATTTTGTATATGAAGGTGTCTCAAAGCAAAATCGCTTGAAAACATAAGAAATTCTTCTATTCCTTTGCAAATCTAACAAATAAAGTTTGAAAAATTTAAATGATAAACCAAAAGATTTGATTTTCAATATGCTTCTTGTTTCATTACACGATGTTCGAATGGCTACGTAATCGGTAGATGATCATTATCATTTCGTAAGACGGATGATAAATGTTTTTATCGTATCTCGAAGGTAATTTTATTTGCAATTGATATTAGCCAGGCAATTGATATAAACGATTTAATAAGTTATTAGAAAATTCTTACAAAAAATTTTTTTTCTTATTTGGAATTTGCTTTTGTCCCTTTGATAATATATCAATGTGTCTAATCGATGATTTAAGAAATTATTCAATTCAAACTGCACACAATTATTGCACGATTGAAGATATTGAGAATCTGAAGAGAATACAGAAGATCTATATACATTACTCGGATCGAGTACAATCGTTTCTGTCAATATATTAAATCGGGTCATTTTTGAAACAAAAACAGTGTTTATCTCTGGATAGAAACGAAGATTGATATATTTGCAATAAGAGCTATTTATTTTTTTCTATTTTCCTTGACCGAAGATCACAGATTCGGTAGGCCAGGTGTGGAATTCTATGGACAACACACTATTGAAAGTGGAGAGAATGCTGTCACGAAGATTGTTGCTTTGCCCAACGAGGTAAACGTCATTCTATTATTATATATGTATACAATATAGTGCTTGCTCAAATTTCACTAAAATCACCACCTATTCAGTGGTTTTCACTAAGCGAGAAAAAACTAGATATAATAAGAACAAGTAAGATAGATATACTTTAAAGGAATATTGTAAGAAAAAAAAAAATAATCAATAAAGAAAACTTCGCTTTCTGTAATTTTTATGAAATTTTTTATTTTTATGAAAATAAGATCAATTGAATTGATGAGATTCGATTAAAATAAATTCAAACATGACATAAATCGAATTAATTTTATTAATAATCATTGTCGATAATAGTAATTAATTATTAAAATTAGTTCAATTTATGTTGTGAATTTAAGTATTATCTTTATAAAATATATAATACAATAATAACTATATAATAAATAATAAATAAACATCAAAATCATAGAAAATTGAAATTTTCTTTATTGCTTGATTATTCTTTTTCACATGACACAATTTCTTTAAGTAATTTTTGTTCGATATATTAGATCTATCTTACTTTCTCTAGTTATATTTATTTTCTTATTTTGTCGAACTATACTCGAGTCAATTCTTAGAAAAAAAAAAGTTATCCTATTCATGAGAATTTTACTGTTGGGTCTTGAAGTTACTAATAAAATGTATCCTATAAAATAATATCCTATATTATTTTATATATCATTTTATTAAATTTGTTAAGTTGTTCATATTTTGTAAATATTATTATTTAATATTGATTTTAATATATTTTATATATTATATACGGAAATAAATATGCAAATTTATTATCATGATTCTCAAATATTGAATAAGAAAAATATTGAATATTATTGAATAAAATATAAATAAATAATTAGAATTTCAACTCGCGTAAACTGTATAAAAAATATGCAACTTATATTTACTTTGAAATCAAAGCTGACGTATCATGTTCGAATTTCTTAATGACTGCGCTAATAGTTTCTAAACTTTATGAAGAAATTATTTACTAATAGGAAATTCCAGACATTTTCCGTACTTTCAAAATAAATTAGGTTTTACTATCAGAATTTTTGTTGAACAATTACTAATACATTCATTCGAATATCATTTTACTTTCTTCGACCCGAACGTTCAGTATAATTAAGAAGCATTTAATGTATTTATATTTATTCTTTTCGTACCGATATTGCTTCGAAAATGTTTTAAAAATTATTATAAAAATCTTACATCAATAAGATATCAATTATCCAAATATATTTTTTCTTAATATACATAACGAAAACGAAATTATCAAGTGTAAGAAATTATAATTGTTGCTTGTTTTGAATTCTTTTTAATTTCATTACATCATCAAAAGATTAGTGAAACTTTGCCCGATGTTTTCATTCTAACAAATCGGTATTTATCTTATGAAGGTAACACGAAAGAAAAAAGGAAAAGAGAATCATATTCAAGGAATGGTTTAATGCCCAGTGCGCGATAGTAATATCTTTGTGTACGTCATACTTAGGTACATTGTAATCAAAAAGAGACAGTCGGAGGTGTGAAGTTATGGTTGTTTTTAAAAGTCACACGCGTTACACCGGTAACGCGACACTCTGTTCGTTGTATACAGTCTTTGCTGGGTTGCATAACTGTGTGCGACACGCGCAACGCGCTTATGCACGCATGTATATGAATAAATAATACACGAACACCATTGTCATTCCCTCCATAAAGGTCGAGAGCATATATACCGTGGAGGGTTTTATTTTCCTGTTTCCTTCCTTTTAAATACAAACCTTGACGTTAGGAAAATTTCATTGTGAAATTCATTATTTATTTTAATCAATAATGGAATCTATTAAATTTCCAATAGACGCGTTAAAATAATTATTATTTTTTTTTTTAACTCTTGATTAATAGATCGATTAATTGTGCCATGATTGGCTGGGTCATTTCTTGGGTCATTTCTGACCCATATTACTTTCTATACGAAAATCTCATATTAAGAAAAATTAAATTATATTATATTATATATATATTATATTATATTATATAACATAATTTTAGAAAGAAAATAAATTAATAATTTTTTAAAAATAAATTTTAAAAAATAATGACTCGACATCGATCGTTTAAGAAATCAAGAAAATCTATTGCTGTTAAATCTATTATGTTTCGTGGACTATTTTAAGTTTTATATTTTTCTATATTTTTCTATATTATAAAATTATATATATATATATATATATTTTTTTTTTTTTTAATTTTTCCTTTCCTTTAAATTCATATTATGAAAAAGAAATGAAAATATAGATTTCTTATTAATTAATTTTTTACTTTTGCAATTACTAAAAATGGAAAACTGATATAAAGATTGATTTTATTGCAAAATTAATATGATTTTTATTTAGATAGAAACATATGTACTTTATTTTATAATATGCACTAATTCAATTTTACATTTGCATGTATTTATATTATAGGTAATTTGGTTTTGTTAATTTGGTTCGTTAATTTTTAAAAACTTAGTTAAATAATTAACTCATTAAGATTATATTTTTCTATTATATTTCTTTAATGATTTTATTAGATATAATAATAATTTTATTATACTTCTATTGATTTATTAGATATAAAAATATAAAAAATATAGATATAATATTATGATAGAAATAATCTTTACATCTTACATAACTATTTTTTCAATCAATTTTTATTTCATTTTTATTTTTAGAAATATAGAATTAATTTTCATTATTTGTTTGCAGAGCAAATAATATATTGAAGAGTTTTTTAAAAAAATTCATAAAACAAATGTGAATTAAATGAATTTTATCAGAAATTTAACTTTTACTTTTTTAAAATTCTTCTCAATGATGATTATTCTCAAAATATTTTTTTTTTTTATAATTTTTTTAAAATATATTTAAAAACTTATAAAACAAAAATCAAAAATAAAGAAATTGCATTTATTTAGACTTACATAGACTTTGTTTTCTAATAAAATATTGATGATTAAATTAAAAATTAATGAAAATATCCCTAAATTGTTTGCACCAACGAAATAAAACTAACTTAATTTAATAACTAAACACAAAAGATTTAATAACTAAAACACAAATCTTTTTTTTTGATTTTGGTTTGTTATTTAATATAAATGTAATTAATATATATATATATATATAAAATGTATTTAATATAATATAAAATAATTAATTAAGAATGATTTATTTTAAAAAAGGCATCATAAGCATATAGTTTTTTTTAATTTAAAAAGTTTCAATTATTATTTTAGATTTTTATTTCTATTTTTATTTTCATTTTATTATTATAAATTATTAATTTTGCCAGAACATTATACATTCTTATCTCAATCATTTATCTGTACAAAATATTACAAATTATAATAAATTAAAAGTGTAAACATAATCGAAAATAACAAATCAATCATTCTGTCATTGATTAAGAAATCTGACAGCAAGTACTGAATAAATTTGAGAACTAATTATCAATGCAACAAATATGAGAAGAATAGGGAAAATTAATATATAATTAAAAAAAAATTATGAATAATAATGAATCTTTATATGTTTATTATTTTTATATCTTTATATATCTATTATTCTTATTTTTTAAATTGCTTTTAAAGATATTATAAAAAATGTTGAGAAAATAAAGAGATTCTTGAAATCTTTAAACAGATTCTTTGTTATTTTTTGAAGATAAATACAATATTATATATTGGCCAAAAAAAAAATTATAGATGAAATATTACAAATGTTAATGCAATTTCGGGCTTCTATGGATTAAATTCGTTCAATGCAGTAATAAAATCAAAATATCGCTTTCTATAAAGTATATGTATAAATATATATTTACATATATAAGTAGGTGTGGCATGTCAATCTTTGTATCGAACCAAGCACTAGTTTGCTTACGTTGCTCGATACGAGTCACGAAATTATCGTTATCGCGATCATTTTTCAAACGAATCCTAATACCGATAAGATAGCAGCTGTACGATTATAATCACCTCACCTTTTTTTTTCATGAGCTTTTTTTATTTTTCTTTACTTTCTAGGTATATTTTATTCGATAATCGATAAGAGAACATTGCGAAATGATATTTGAAGGTAATATTCAATATCGATTATCTTATAGTTCTCAAAAAATTCGTATTATATTTTCATTATTTAAAATTGAAGCTCATATTAAGAAATAAAAAATTATAACTTCCAATAATTATTTAAATTAGAAGAAAACATTAAAATAATAATATACTTTTTTGTTTTTTTTCATCTAAGCAATTAGATTAATTGTAAATAAAAAAAGAAAAATAAAGAATACAATTTTAGAAAATTTCATCATTATATGAAAATTTTATTTATTTGAATGATTTTCAGTTTAGTATAATACAAAATAAAATTGAAATCTAGAATTTATCTGAACTTAAATATTTAAATACTTTTTTATATATGATCTCTTAAAACTAATCTAACCTAATTTATTCTATGTTAAAACCTAACCTTGTCGTTGCATTGTAGAAACTAATTTTAACTAAATGTATATAATGAAAGAACCATATATGATTAAAATTTTTTCAGAGAAAATGATATACACATCTAATTATTGTACACATTAATAAAATTTGAAAATGGGATGTAAAAAATACGTTAAAAATCATGACTTCACGTGAAAGTACGAAGCACGAGTTAAACCTTCTTAACCTTGTTTTTTCCTCAAGTTTTCTTTATTGCGTGGAAAATTCATTATATATATGTAATTATGACTAAATGAAAAAAAGGACGCGGGATTTGTTTCGTGAGAAACGATGAAATCATGAAAATTGATTACAATACGATATGTATAGTCGTTTTTTTTTATCTGTATTATCATTTAAAATCATTATGAAATTTTATAAAATTTTATAAAATTACATCAATATATAAAAAGGAAAATATAAAAAGAATAATTTATGAAACGACATTCATTCATTCATTTTAAATGATTGATCAAATAAATTCTTTTTCCTTCTTTTTAAATTTGTTTCTTTGTACCAAATAATATTTATAGATGTTAATAAAAATAAAATAAGATTACATAAGATTTTTGATATTCCTTTTTTACAGTTTCTATATTTATTTAAAAAACTTAATTTATAATATTTTTTTATAATTTGTATTCTCTTGAATGTACACTTTCGTCAGACAAAAAATAATAAAGAAAAAAAAAAGCAAAATATTTTAATTGTATTTTGTCTCATATTTATCAGTAAAATCATACGAATGTGATAGATATATTTTTTATAAAAAATACCAAAATTATTTTAATTAAATTTTAAAATCTAAACTTTACATTTAAATAAAACACAGAAAAAAATCTTGAATTATCAATTGAACGTTTTGAATTATGCAATTGACATTTTGAATGCGGTCATTTTCTTCATCGCGTGAAGATAGCAAACTGCCATCTATGAAAGCATTATTATATTAAATTCACTTATGATAAAAAAATACTATAAAAAAGCGCTACTTATGGTAATACAATAATGATACATCTACAATGAATTTAACAGGGACGCGTCGTTTCTCTCTGTGACGATAACTCTCTTCATTTGTGGGAGATTAACGAGAGTTCAGTCGTGGAAACCAAATCGCTTTCGTTGGAAGGTAAATTGAAGAAAATCTCGGCGATGTGTCTTGAGTCGAGCGGCGAACACTTACTTCTGGGAACCGAGGGCGGAAACATTTATCTTTTGAACCTGAAAACATTTGTGGTGCCTGACAACATCATTTACCAGGATGTCGTAATGCAAAAGTAAGGATAATTTGTGTTTTTTTAAATTTTTTTTTTGTTAAAAACAATGAAAATAAATTTTTTAAAACAATTTCAAAATATTCATAACATCATCGTTAACGAAGTCGTAAGTCAGAATATCCGATTTTAATACATTGTTGAACAATGACAATAAGAAATTCAACGAAAAATTATTTTTTTAATTATAAGAGTGTTAATTATTCTATTTTAAAATCTAATTTAAGTTTCTTTGATTGATATTAACGAGTAAACTAATATCTCTAACTTTTCTTTATAATTTTTGTAAGATAAAGATATTGTGAAATAATAGATTTATTTATCAACATTATCAACATTAATTAGAAAAAAAATACGAACATTTAATATTTATTCTGAACAAAATTATATATATTTTATCTATTTTTTATTCACAGCACAGTATAAATTTTATTATGGAATAAAAAAAGTTATTATTAAAATACAGCAAATGTTTTATAATTATAAAAAAAAATTATCTCTATTACTTGAAAAGAAAGGACCTTTAATATTATAAGCTTCAGGACAATGCGAATAATGTAATCTAATTCAAAATCAAATATCTATAAACAATATTAATATAATAAAATTTTATTTTTGATTTCTTTACATATTTGATAGATAAAAAAAAATATCAATCATTAAATTCATAAATATTAATTACATTTTATTTGGTTTTATTTTAATCAAAGAAATTTCACAAATATTTTTTAAAAAGTTAATAAAAATTTTATTATTGGATATTGTATATTGCATTGTTTTTCTTCGTCTTCTTTTACGCTTATTTAATTTTATACTTGACAAAAAACGTAAATAAAAAATATTAAAAGTAAGAACTTCTATTAGATAACTATAAATCTTCAGGTCCATATTTATTTGCAATTATAAAATATTTGTTGTATACAGTGTTAAATTCATGTGTTCGTGACGTATCGATGTTATGACAGCGTCCCAGATGATTATAAGAAGAATCCAGGAGCAGTCGAGGCGATAGCGGAACAACCAGGTCATCCAGACAATATTCTGATAGGTTACAATCGTGGCTTAATGGTTTTGTGGAACAAAGCGACTCCTGGAGCCCAACAGGTGAGCCTTTGTATTATTGTCTTGTATCTTTTTATGTCACATGTCCATGTGTACAAGGTTATAATGTGGCATGTGTAATGACACGCTTACAAAACAGTCCGAACACACTTGCTTACTACATTTTCGGGGCAATGCTTAATCCATCGTTGGATAAAAGTGCATTTAACTAAAGCATTTAAAAAATTTCACTCCTTTGTAAAATGAAATAATATTCCATTAATCCTGCAATGATGTATTGGAGTCTTTTGTTACTCATTTTCATTATTGCAAAATAATTAAAAATATAAAACTTGCTTCTCTTTTTTTTTCTTGGTATTTAATACAGTACAGTCTAAAAATAATTTTTTCAAAATATATATTAATTCATTTTTTTCAGAATTTTTATATAATACAGATAAAATAACATATGAAGGTTATATCAATTTGAAAGATTTTAATGCGCTTGAAGAATATTAACCATTGCAAGATTAATTTTAAACAAAATTTATCATTCAATAATATTTACTGAAATGCTCAAAATAATTAATATACATTTAGCGAAACAGATTTCTTCGCAATATTATCAATATTTTATAAATAAAATACGTACATACATATACACCATATACATACAATACAATACCTTTTAATATATCAGTATATATCATTATATATTAGTTTCACATATGTCAAATATCATGTATTAAAATTTAAAGAAATAATAATTGAAAAATAGAGAAATCATAAAAGAGAGTTTATTATAAATCAAAAATAAACTTTTATGCGGTCATGAGTAAGAAATTTAAATTTAAAATATAAATACGTACCGATGGGTTAAGCACGTATTGTGACATGGTACCGCTCGTTCTGATTGTTGTTTGTGTCTTTGGTGGTTTTGGCGAACGTGTACGTGCAGCTGATGGGTTTGTTTTCGCGTACGCAGACATTCGTCTCCACGCAACAGCTGGAATCTGTCCATTGGGTCTCCGAGACCCGTTTTGTTTCCTCCCACAACGATGGATCCTATGCATTTTGGAGCGATAGCAGCGATAGCATGTTGGAGTCGACCACATTGTATGGACCGTTTCCGTGTAAAGCTATCACTAAAATTCTCGTCTATCCAACCGCAGAGTGAGTAGAGAAATATTTCATTTAATGTTCACACGATCTTTTTATTTATTGCTTGATCATTGTACAATACCAAAATAATGAATCATTGTAAAAACAGGCTTAAAGAACTGGTCTTATTTTCGGGTGGAATGCAACGCGCGAGTTACGGCGATCGTCATACAATTACTGTTATGGTTAAAGGAAAACATGTCGTTTTTGATTTCACATCAAAGGTGATTGATTTCTTCACTGTATTTTCTAAGGAAGAGGATGGAAAAGATATTCCTGCTAGTCCGGAAGCGCTTATAGTATTGGCTGAAGAAGAGATAGTGGCCATTGATTTGACTAATTCTGAATGGAAAATGATGGCATTACCTTATTTAGTATCTCTCCATGCAAGTGCGGTAAATATCATATTATTTTATAATATATAGAGTATAATTTATATACTATACTAATTATTTATACTAATAGTATAATTACTATACTATTTGTTTTTTTTTTAATATTATATTTAACATTTATAGGTCACTTGTTCACAACATGTCCCAAATGTTCCTGAAGAATTGTGGGACAATATAATCGCAGCTGGAAAAGCACAAACAGAGCATCTATATTCGGATAAACCATGGCCTATAGACGGTGGAATTATTCTTAATCAAAAATCGGGAAATGATAAACCAAAAACCAGAGAATTGTTGCTTACCGGTCACGAAGATGGCACCGTGAGATTCTGGAATGCGTCTGATGTTGCTTTAACACCTCTTTATAAATATAACACGTCCATTCTATTTACCGGTGAACATCTAGATGTTCTTGAACAACCACCAGAGGATGATGAGGATGAGTGGCCACCATTTAGAAAAGTTGGAACCTTTGATCCATATTCTGACGATCCAAGACTTGCAGTAAAAAAAGTTTTACTTTGTCCTCTGTCATCGACGTTAGTGGTTGCTGGTACAGCTGGTCACATAATTACAGCTACTATATCATCTGAACCTGTGAACAAAGAGATCAAAGCTATCACGATGAATATTGTGAACGATCGTGATGGATTTGTTTGGAAAGGTCATGATCATCTTCCGGCGAGAACAACCAGTATATCTTTCGCAGTTGGTTTTCAACCACAAAGTCTTCTTCAATTATATCCACCAGCTGCGGTTACAGCATTGGCTATACACAGTGAATGGGGATTACTTGCAGCAGGCACAGCTCATGGTTTAGCTGTTTTTGATTATACAAGAGGAAAGGCTGTTAATGTAAAATGTACACTTAATCCAAATGGTATATATATAATATATATTTATGTATTTCTTATATCAATTAATATGTTTATAAGAAAAATTAAATATTTTCCATCTTATAATGCTATTTTAGATCTTTCTGGAGCCAGTGATACACCAATTTCTAGAAGAAAATCATTCAAGAAATCATTGAGAGAATCTTTCAGAAGATTAAGGAAAGGAAGATCACAACGACGAACAAATGCTAATAGTCCAACCAGAAATACGACATCGGAGAAAAAGAAAGAAACGTGAATATATTTTTTTAAATTAGATAAATTATCTTCAAATATACCTATAGATGCATTAAATAATAAATGATTTTTAATTTTGGAAGGCCTAGTGTTGCTTCTTCGCCAAGTGGCGATCTTTCACCAGTAGAATTGAAACCTGTGGAAAGACAAGTAGAAGCAAGACCTGTAGATGATGCGTTGGGATCAATGGTTCGATGTTTATATTTTGCTAGAAGTTATATTATAAGCAGTAAGTATATTTAATTATATTAAAATTATTTCATTGAATATATAATTCATAAATATTTTTTAATATATTTTTTCATTCTAGTGCAAAACACAACGCCTACGCTTTGGGCAGGTACCAATAACGGTACAGTTTATGTGTTCACATTAGCAATTCCTGCAGGCGTTAGAAGAACAGAAGAAGATGTAAATTGTACATTAGGAAAAGAGATTCAATTAAAACATAGAGCACCTGTAATTGCAATCACAATTCTCGATGGATCTAGTGTACCGTTACCAGAACCATTCGAAGCCGAAAAAGGCGTGAGTCCTGGTCCTGATATGGCATCACCACATAGAGTTGTAATTGCTAGCGAAGAACAATTCAAAATCTTTAATCTTCCATCCTTGAAACCATATTGTAAATACAAACTTACTGCACATGAAGGTTCACGAGTAAGAAAAACAGGTTTTGCAAAATTCACATGCCCAATGGAACCTGCGGGAACACACGAAGAAACTTGTTTGTTATGTTTGACCAATCTTGGAGATTGTTTAGTGCTCAGTATTCCAGAATTGAGAAGACAGCTTAATGCTGCTGCTATTAAGAAAGAAGACATTAAGTAAGTCTGATAATCTTTAAGATTTAAATCTTTTTTTCTGAAATTATTGTCTGTATTGATTTTCTTTTTCAGCGGAATTTCTTCGTTAACATTCACAAAAGCTGGCGAAGCATTATATCTATATTCAAGTTCAGAACTGCAACGAATTTCATTGTCGGCTAATAAAGTGACAAAAGCAAACTGTGCGTTAAATTTACCACCAAATGCTAGATCATTTCCTGAAACTAATAACGAAGATACTCAAGAGGAAGGAATAATTGAAGGTACACCTGAAACGGAAGGTGAAACAACCCAGGGAAGTCAATCAGTTACAATGCAAAGGATTACAGAGAATGGTGTAGTGGGTTCTAGTGAGTATACTGTGTCAAGTTTTTTAAATCCTACTTAATATATGTTGCGATATCATTAACTTAAACGTTATCATAGGATAATATCTAAACATGCTAAATAATATTAAATGCGTAATTGCTTTGCATATCTTGTAACCTATGTAAATATTTAAATGTCGCTTTGCTACAATTACTTGTGATTTATCAAATAAGCTAGCAGCTAAATTCTATTTCTTATGCTAATTAACATCATCAAGCTCCTAATCCTTTAGTATCCGAATCTTGAATACATATATTTTAGCCGGTGGTGAAGAATCTCCGAAAGAATCACCTTTGCAACCAGCTGCAAGTACCAATGATGTAAACGCAGAAGACGATCGTCAAGACTTAAGCTCTATTGGAGATATAACGATCGATAGCGTGAAGGATCATTTGCTGTAAGTGAACGTGTTGCATATGTTATGCCTAGCTTTTTATTGTTTTATTTCACATGCTTCTTTTGCTTATCTGTTACGATTAATTTTATCATGGTGATAAAAATAATAAAATATAATAAAAAGATAAATAAAGAAAAATAGATTTAATTTAACAAGCTGGCTTTAAATATACGTTTGTTTCGCTGTGCTAATCGATGTATTTTGTATTGCCACTTGCTTGGCAGTAACAGTTCACTTTTCAGAAATGCAACGTCTTCCGAAGAACTTCACAATCGTCTTGCAGGACTTAAAATGGAGGTGACTTCACGAACTTCGGAAATCTCTACTCAAAATCAATCGCTAGTTTTAAAGACTACTACCGTTGTTTCGCAAACAACCAACAATACTACTGCTAATGGAGAGATCGAAACAAGTCAAACAAATGAAACTCAACAAGTGAACAGTGAGTGAAATCATTGCTAATTTAATTAGAGTGAATTATAAATTGATCCAGTGACCAATAATACTTTATATTTAATTTTTAACACATAATGTATTCCTTTTTAAATGTATATTTTTTAAATTAATATTTTTTAGGTTTCCCAAATAGTATTTGAAAATTGTAAATAATCATACCCTTAATAATCTCATATACTACATAATCCATCGATCGCTTAATATCATGTGTTTGTCTTTCGTCGCTTTTTAATTTTTATTTTTTATTTTTCTAATATTATTTATATTCTTTCGTTATTGTTTTGTTTTTTTGTTATTTGTTATTGCGCAGGCACTACAGTAGAAAGAGAGATTCGCAGCGGTACTGAAACTACAACAACACATGCTACAATTACTCTACCTTCAAACGTCGAGGTCATCAAACGGCACTGACAATGAAAATATTGTGTTAATTAGTATCGGATCTTACTTCAATGTTAAGCCTATACTCCGCGATCCAAATGAAAGATTTATGAATTTTTAGTGTTTCTTAAAAATCGTGCAATATACAGAAATTCTGTACTCATTCATATAAAAACTACCTCTCTTTTAATAATATAAAAAAAGGACGACAATTAAATAATATTATTTTTTTAAGACTTTTAACTGTTTTTACAAAATTTGGGTGTGACGAAATGATAGGAGGGTATCTTTACGAAAAATAAAAATTTTATCAAGACAATACATATTTCTTTTAAATTTAATAATATGTATATATTCCTTCTTTTTCTAAAAATTTTAATATTCCATTTAATTTTCTAAAAGATTTTATTTTTCTAAAAGATAATAATATTAATTTATTACTTTTAATTTTTTTAAAATTAATAATCACGATTAATTGCAATTTTCTTGCATATCTAAGAAGATTACACTGATCATTATAAAATTTGGATATCATTTGCTTAAAGATTATTTTTTTCTATTTTATTTCAATGATAAATTAATCTATCTTTAATGTATTTTATCGCTATTTCTTTATGTATAAATTTTGCATAATTGATGTTATTCAGTTTAATATTAATAAAATAAAAAATTTTTCTTCTGTTTTTAATTTCTTAAACTATTATTCAATGTGCAATTAGATGTAGTTGTTTATACATCACAATCATTCAACAAAGTTCGATTTTAATTTTAATAAATTAATATTTTAAGCGAGCGATTTTAATAATTTTGACTCAAAATAATATTAAAATAATAATAAATATGTATTTTAGATTTTATGAAACTTAATTTATAATTTTGTAGAGAATTTCTGTATATTAATTTATTTTTGAGAAACATTAAAAATTCAAAGGTATTTTATTATTTTTTCGCGGAATTTATAATTAACGAAAATTTATTTGATTTCGTTTACAATTATAAAATGAGCGAAAATATAAAATAAAAATGAAGCGAATGCGATTAATAACAATAGTGATTAATCAGAAGAAGAAAATGATTTTAAATCTCTTCTAAAAAAATAGATCCGGAAATATGTTCTTAAGAGTTAAAAGAAAATGACGTTGGCAAAATTTGTACGCAGAAGATCCGGATTTTAGCTCTCAATGGTTTTCATATTTTAAGAAAAGACAAAAAGTCACTAATATTCTTTTGCAAAAAAAAAAAAAGGAAAAAAAAATAATGCGTCCTTTTATATATTATAATTCTATAATATAATACTTTTGTATGGATAGAAATAACATTATTCACAATCAGCATTGACTTAAGAGCAGTGTGATCGATGCTGCTAATTTTTATAACGTCTGTACCTGGGTTTCGTACCCTCGTGATTATCTATGTTATATTATATGCATTTACATAGATTGTATACTATGTTATATGAAATCTAATTTTTTACAATTCTCCTCCTGTAGATCTTAGATAAGGTAAAGATCTAATTAAATTTTTATTGATACCAGAAAATGGTATTATTCTTGGATTATCAAAGGGAGTCAACATTCTTGTATGATAGATTTTAACAGATATATTTGAATTATTCTGGCTAGCTATATCGTAAATGATTTATTCTATCTAAAAGTGTAGAATTATCCAGGGTATGTTCCAAATTCTTAATTTTTAAGCAACAGAAAGAATAGTTTTTATAGTTATAGTTTTTAAAAGATTGTATTGAAATCATTCAGGTGCTCTTTGAAAAATATTGAAATATTAATATATTTTGATTTTCCTTTGAAGAAAAGTAAAGGAATCCTATTTTTAGAAACTGTATCGAGAATTCTTCTAGCTTTGCTTCCACTATTGTATTGTATTGTGCAATGTGCGAAATTTTTTTATGGTGTTGGTGATGCTCCTGCAGGCAGAATGCTAGCCAGAACTTTACTAACAGATCTTCAATCATTTGAATTGTTATTGCGTTAATTGTGGACTCCTTATTTTCTTCTTGATCCTTCTTATTTCTTGAAATTGGATTTGGATATGAATACATTTAGATAATTATATTCAAGCATATCGGATAAACAATAATTTTATTTTAATTAAACATTTTAATTAAAAATTTTTATATTTTTAATTATTTTTGTAAACATCGTGATAAATTTAAAAAAATGAATTTGTGGAGCCGTGTTTGATTCGAATTTTTTTATGAAGAGATCTTCAATCACATTGTAGAACATCACTACGTACGTACATCAAAAATAATTTTAACGTGTTTTTTATTTAATGAGATTACATAAATGCAGTGCTAAAAAAAATATATATATATTTTTTTTATATAAGATAAAATCAGTTCAAAAAGTTTTCGTTGCTGCTTAAAAGAATAAATCAATGTTCATTTTTAGCAAAAAAAACTTAATAATTAATGAATATAAATAATAATTTCCATGATTCTTGTTTCACTACGTCATAGTCATTGATAATTGCATTTTTTCCGTTGCTTAATCTCTCTAAGTCTTTTTAACGTAATTTTACTTAAATAGCTACTTCTCTATTTTTTGTTAGGCATTTTCGCAACATGTTTTTTTTTTTTTTTGATCTTTTATCACTATTCATCCATATAATATAGATGATTTAAGTTGCGTTTTTTTTTTTAAATATTATTATTTAGAAATATATCGTAGCACAACATATTCGTTGCGTTACAATATGGCTGCCATGTTCACAATTTGTGATGTATCTTATTTCTTTGTACAGGCTATAGTTTTTAAATTATATTTAGTTTCGTGCGTCATGAAAAAAATCGTAAAAATTTCTCACGATTCTTTTTTAAAAAATGTATCAATAAAAAATATTTTGAAATTGTATTTAATGAAATAATGTTTTAATAAATTGATCTACAGATGACACAATACAAAACATTTTTCTTGCATTTTTTTTTAAGATTTATTTATAAATAAATAATTATTAGGCCTAATTCTATTAACAATAAAGCCTAAATTTAGGCCTAATTTTATAGGCCTAGTATTAAATTGACAAAATTTTGTTTCGCTTAATATAAAATTGATTGTCAAATCTAATGGAATTACAAAATTAAAATATAAAATACTATGATCATGGCAGTATATAATCAATTGACTTATCATTATTTGAAATTCATTCTCTTATGATTTATAGCATAATTATTGTGATTTACAAATTTGTCAAATCAACTGTAATATATCAAAAATATCTCACTTTAATTTTGCATTTTAAATTTTATTCAAAAATTTGTCTCTATGAAGTCATAATTATAAAAAAGAATTATTAGTATATTGAAAATAAACTAAATAGCATTGTACATTATCATATATACTTGTATATATGGTCTGAAAATTATTCTATTCTTAAATTAAGTTATATGAATACTGTAAATTAATAATATATATATATATAATTCATATAAATATAATGTATATAATCAATATGATGATAGAAAATCTTAATGTTATAATAACGATAAAATAAATAGCATCGACTGCACTTATTATGTAATATTTAAAAAATATTAAAAAAAAACTATTAATAAACTTTCAATTTTCAATGAAAGTGAAAATTAAGATTATTAAATGCGAATAACAGAATTTTTTTGCGTACAATTTTATCAATATATATGTATCTGTATATATCGAAAATTTTCTTTCATATTTTTATTAATATTTTTTTCTCTTTTGTTTCAACATTATTCGTATTTGCTTAATTTATATTAAATTTAAAATAATAAACGAAATTAAATAAATTCTTCGGTACAAGGTCCAATCCAATGTATTGTGCTACCAGAGCACCTGTATTATTAATTTTATTACAATTGTAAATTATAACAAAGTGAAGTCAATGCGCTAAATGAAAAATGTATGAAAAAACAAACGTAAGTATTTCTGCTATTGTAAAATTATTTGTTTTTTATTTTGATAAAATATTACACATTGTATACGATGAATTGTTAAAACTGCCCTTAAAACATTTCCTGTTTGTTCCTTTATATTTATAAATTATATACATATAATAAAATTAATATATGATATATCTATCTTTAAAATATATGCAAATTTATTTTTTAAGTATCATGAAATTTTTAAATTTATAATATTTTAAAAATAAAAAGTGAATAAAATTTTTTGTTTTATTTTTTGAAAAATTATATTTTATAATTATACATACATATAATTTATTGATAAATATTTTTCAAATTAATTTGAAAGTAGTATAAATAATATAATATCGAGTAATCGAAAAACGAACCGGAAATATTATCGATCATGATTCAATTAATGTTCACCAGATGACGCACAAAGTTTTCAGGCGTGTCGAAAAGCAGTCGCGCTTGCGTACTTACATATGTTCATCGTGTTCGTCGTTGTGGTGGTTACGGTTTAGAGATAGTGTGCAACAGTAGAATAGGACTTATTGAGTAAAGCATTTATAGAAAGTGAGCGAAAGTGATAGAGTGCCATGATAAAGTTGTACGAGTGGACAATTGAATCTTATAATTGAAAGTCCAAAAAAAAGGTGCGTTCACGATAAAGGTGTCGAAGAAGTGAATCGTGATTGGTGAATCTTAGACGGCCATTATTGTGCGCCATTCGGTCTCCGGTGCAGATCCGCGCAGCGAAAGGGCAGATGCCCTTACGCGGTTCGTGTTCCCATTGGTGGGTACGCGTTAATCTACCCGGATCGACACACTTCGTGAGATCCGGTAGTATTTCTCGAAACGTATTCTTGAACATACTAAATTTAAAAAATATAAAGACAAGTAAATCAACCACCTCCTGTGGAAAGCGAGTCTTTTGATAGTCGACTCGATAGTTGTGTGATCTCTGTCTAACAGCAACAGTAGCAACCGCAGCGCCGTCAACAACACGACAACGATAACGACGACAGTAGCGCCATCAGCGCGACCGCCATCGCAGCGAAAAGAAACAGTATTCCTTTGAGGAAAGAAGAAATGCCTGTAGGTTCGCGATCAGTGGCGCGACCAAAGATGGAGGCCACGTCCAGTTTGTAACACGCAGCCAAGTCTCGTTCAAAGCGCACCAACGGAGCCACGAAGCGCTCCTCGAGTCGGCTGTCCAAAGTCGCTTTTGCCCCGTGCTACTTTTCTTCGTGAGCCCCGCGAGGCTGGAGAATGGAGCTACGCGTTGGAAATAAGTACCGGCTCGGACGGAAAATCGGGAGTGGCTCCTTTGGCGACATTTATCTAGGTAATTTTTTTATTTTCGACATTTACCTTTTACTTAGATTTCCCCCACCTCCCTATAATCCACCCGTCTACCCACACGACGGTTACATATTTGCCCTACGACATGCATGAACGCGCCAACTCCCCCGTGCATATATATATTTTCTTTTTCTAACTGCGTGACTGGGCCTTTGGCCTTTTTGTCGTTTCTTAGGTACCAATATCTCTACCGGCGAGGAAGTCGCCATCAAGCTAGAATGTATAAAAACGCGGCATCCACAGTTACACATAGAATCAAAGTTCTACAGGATGATGCAAGGTGGTGGTAAGTAAATTTTCATCTACTATTTATGCTCCACCTTGATTTTGCATATTCTCATGTATTTTGAAACTTATACCGTCACCTGAGAACTGTCAGAATTTTGTGTTTGTTGGACAGCTGGTTGGTCTGGCCACTGAACCTTCTCTCTTTCTCTCTCTCTCTCTCTCTCTCTCTCTCTCTCTCTCTCTTTCTTTCCTCCCCACCCCTCTTTCATCTCCTTGCTATTCCTTTCTTCCTTTTTCATTGTCTGTTCTTTGTGACAATAAGGAACTTTACCGTTTTAACGTTTACATATTTAAAATTTATAATATAAATTGAATAATTCAATTAATTCCAATATCTAATGTATGAGTTTTTTTATATTTTTCAATCTCATATTGAAATATACATAAAATATACATAAAATATACATAAATATACTTAATAAAGTATATATTATACGCATTAATTTATTTTTTGTAGACTAGCATTGATAAATAATATTCCGTAGATTTTAATCGTTTTGGACATGTCATCGATATAAAATTATTTAAACATTTTGAAATAAATATAAATATACCTTTATTCGTTCTAAAAATTTTTATATAAAGATTTCTTTAAAGAGATAAATATCTTCGTTGCAAATCTTATCTATTGTTAACACTAATTTTTACAAATATTAAATACTGATCCTTTCGTAGCGTACTTTTATCTAATTGTCATATTTCCAATAAATAAAAATGATTAAAAAGATTATTATTTTGTATATATTATGCGAAATATTTCAAAATAGACGAAATAAAAAGTTAATCTTGCTTAATATTTGTATTATTGCATAAATTAATTCGTTAGTGAATTTTATGAAATTACTAATTAATTATTAATTTTTAAAAGATTAAATGAGATTATATTTAAAAGATTATATTTATATAATTTATAATTCTTTGCAACAATAATGATTGTGTTGTATGTTGGCATAGAAAAAATATTTCATGTCTAAATTAGGCTTGTATATAGGCCTTTAAAAATAAAACGATGCAAACATATAAGTCTTAAAATTCATATTGATATGATCAAAAAAGCTTTTTATTATAAATGAATAAGAACAATTAAAATAAAATAATATATTATAAATAATATTATAGAATATAATATAATATTTAAATTTTTTTAATCGCTAATAAGGTCTATTTTTATATTAATGACCTCAATAATTAAATTATATTTTGTTTTTTTTTCAATAATTAAATCAATATCTATTATGTTATATAATTTATCTTACAAGATAGCATGCAATATTTGAATTCTAATATTTTAAATATATTTATATTTTTAAATATAAAAAATGAATATTAAATGAAAATATAAATTAAATGTTTGAATGTTTATTACCATACAATTTTATCATTCTATTTTTTATACAATAATATTATTTGTAAATTAAAAATTCAATATTATATGAATATTTGGATATATATAAATTTTTTATTTATAAATTTTAATACAATTTAAATATAATATATATATATAATATTATCAAAACATATTTATCGTAATATTTCAGTTGGAATACCAACTATAAAATGGTGTGGTTCAGAAGGTGACTACAATGTAATGGTAATGGAGCTACTAGGTCCATCATTGGAGGATCTATTTAATTACTGTTCAAGAACTTTTTCTTTGAAAACAGTCTTGCTTCTCGCCGATCAATTGGTAAATAATTTTTTGTTGAAATCAAAATATTTGCAAATTTTTTTTATATAGAAATATTTATTTTTTATTATTCTAATTTCTTTGTTGTTTTAATGAATTGTACACATAAAATTTTTATTGAAATGAAATTTACTTTTAATAATAATTTTTTATGAATAATATTTGCACTATTTATTAATAATAAAAGATATATTGTTTTATCTTAATCATTTTTATTTCTTTTACATACTATAAAAAATGAAATTTATAGTTTTATACTTTAAAACAATTTATACTTTAAAATAATTGGAAATTTATACTTTAAAACAATTGGAAAACAAATGATTACATATGTAACTTTATCTTACTTTATTGAAACAAGATTCTGTTTCTGTAATACCATTATAATTACAACCATATGTACAATAATGTTCAAAGTTCAAATTGTGATTATATGCAAGTATTTATTATTCTGTTTTTTGTTACTGAAATAAATTACAATATAAATTACATTCTTATCAACTAACAATTGTGTCGGCTGATAAGAAAGCTTTCTTATTCTAACAAAAACAGTAAAGCAGAACTAAAACTGATATATAAAGCTTTATAACAACTAAAATCTTTTTAATAAAATCTTTTTAATAAAAAATGATTTTAAAAAATCAACCATTTAAATGTAGAATTCATTTAGAAAAAAAGAAATATATTCTTGTTATTGTTATATTGAATATTTTTTATTTTATTAATTATGAATTATTATTAAGAACTTTATGTTTCCTGATTATTTTATATTAATTATATTTGTGCAATAATAATACTAATAATAATTATAAAAATATGTTGAATGTGATATAAATTTTTTTCTTTTTTTCTTTTTACTTTATACTAATATTAATACTTTTTACAGAATATTATCGCATCTTTTTTTAAATATTTTTTTCTTACATGTAATTTATAATTTGAAAAATGATAAAAATAATTTACAAAATATCTTTATATTCTGACTACAGATAAGTAGAACGGATTATATTCACAGTCGCAATTTTATCCATCGAGACATCAAACCAGATAATTTTTTGATGGGCTTGGGAAAAAAGGGAAATCTCGTATATATTATAGATTTTGGATTGGCCAAAAAATATCGCGATGGCCGTACTCACAAACACATACCGTATCGAGAAAACAAGAACTTAACAGGGACAGCCAGGTTTGTTTATTAATATACAGTTTCATTTGCATTACAACATTTTATATAATTTTTTCCTAGTATTTTTTAAAAAAAAAAAATCAATTTACGCATTAATAGATACGCGAGTATTAATACACATTTGGGAATTGAACAATCACGACGAGATGACCTTGAATCCTTGGGATATGTTCTTATGTATTTCAATAGAGGTAGCTTGCCCTGGCAAGGTTTGAAAGCGGCAACTAAACGACAGAAATACGAACGTATTTCTGAAAAGAAAATGTCTACACCTATCGAAGAATTATGCAAGGGTTATCCTGGTAAATTTCTCTTTGTCAAGTACTGTTATATTGCACATCATTATAAAAAATATGATCGGATCAATATCATAACTCTATTATAAATATTTTAAATATATATAATCTATTATAAATATTATAAATATTTTCTATTATAAATAAATATTTTGTTATTATAGTTGAGTTCGTGCAATATCTAAGGTATTGTCGAGGACTACGATTCGAGGAAAGGCCGGACTATTCGTATCTTCGGCAACTTTTCCGGACGTTGTTCCACGAAGAAGGCTTCACATACGATTATGTCTTCGATTGGAATAGGCTGAAATTCGGTAATGTGAGGCAACAAACATTGTCTTCGACTCAACAAACACCGATGCAGTCGCAACATACGAATGCAGCGCTGCCTTCTGGGACTAATAATGATCAAGAACATCGATCTAGGTTGGTGTTTCATGACAGAATGAATAATATATCCGCAAATCGCGAACCGTTTGCGTATGAAATTAGACGTGAAAATGTTAGCAATCGCATCTCTCTATGCTGTCTTTCCATGCATATAAATAGCATGGTCATTTCATTACCCAGTACGTTCTATTCTTAGCGGGTAGGTCAATGAATCGGGAAATAGTCCTGTTTAACAACATAAATAACCAAATAGATTTTTTCTCTAATCTATGTTGGTTATAAAAAGTATTTTCACATTATTATATTCGTCATAAGATTCACATATTAATTAATTAGATCAAATACATTATATTTTGCATCATTTAATTATGTTTTTTATATTTATATAATAATTTAATATTACATTAGAATTTGATTGGAAAAAACCTAATTTCATTGAAAAGTAAATATATATAAATAAGTAAATTTAATAAGATATGTGTAAATATTTCTTCCTATTCACTATATGTTTTTCTTTCTTGTTTATTTCGTTTGTTTTATTCTACATTATTCGCTGAAATAATTTCAGATATTAATAAAATGTGTAATATTATTTATTACCATAATCGTATATTTTTTTTTACAGACCTTACACCCGGCAGTGTTTGGCAAACATATCAGTGGGAACAGTGGGTCCGACTGTAGGTGGAACAACTACAAATTTGAGAAGCATGCGGCAAAAACGCGAGGCGATAGACGCTCTTCGCGATCAGGACAATCAGGAGAGCGATCTTCAAGGTAAACCACAGTTCTACCCAAAATTATCTTCTAAGCCGGTTATAACCCAGCAAAAAATGCGGCTCGAACATCCGCAGCTAACTAGCAACGAAACGCCACGCGTGAATCCGTGTCAGTTCAGTACATTCAAATCATCACCGGTTAGAATAGCGCCAGATGCGTCCCTGGACATTGCGGGTCTTAATTTAGGACCCCGCGAAACAACTTCGAATCGTGCCGAATTGAACTGCACTACGTCTCGTGACTATTCAGTGAACAGATTGCCCGATGGTAGTCCGAATGCATCATTTCGTCAACCGGATAAACAGAGTTATTTTTTTCAGTCATATAAAACCGAGAAAAACTTCGAGATGATGATGTTTGATCGTCCTGTTCACGATGAGAAAAAAGTTGATCACGGGGATGATGTCGTGGCATCCGGTGGCTCATTGAATTGTTTCAGTAGCGTGGAGAAGGAGAAAGGCGCTGATTACGATGACAAGAAGCAAAAAGGTTCCACGCTCGGTGGCCGCCATCACATTTCGACCCACGATGCTCGTCGTGATTCTGGAAACGTAGAATTCCTTGAAAAAGAAGGCGAGATCTTCAAGATAAGCAGTAGTGAATTATTGCAAGATGCGTCGGCCAAAAAGAAACGAAACTTTTCTTTCAGTAACAAAGAGAAGACGCACAGAAGTTTAGAATCGTTAGAAAGAAGTATAGATTTGTCGGCTAAAGATTCGAAGAGTTTAGATCTGTTGTTCGAGGAACGATCGAAAGCATTTTTTCATGGGAAACAAAGAAGTCTGGATTCTTCCCAGAAGTCAAAAAAGTCCATGGATTCGTCCGCCAACAAAGCGCGAAAGCGGCCGAATTTCTTTCAACGTGTTCGAAGAAGCTGGCATTTTTTACTCATGCAGCGCAGAATCAAGCAACGAAATAAATATGAACGGCCACTGAGCGGTAGAGAAAAATGCGAATATTTTTTGCGCCGACTCCATAAAAATGATTGCCTTGAAAATGATTTAAGCTTGTCAATCAATCATTCACAGACAGAGTTGAATCTAAGTTTTTTGTCTAAACCTGATGATATAAAGAAAGATGAATTAATTTCGAACGACAAAAAAGATGAGAAAGAAATTAAAGTCGTGATAGAGGATGCTATAATTGTAATGGAAGATGCTAAATTTCGTGTAATAGATGAGGAAAATAAATTACCTGATGGAGATATCGATAATAAGCCACCGGAAGAAAATGATGAAAAGCCCCCGTTGGTCACTGAAAATGATATTGCACGAAAATTACAAGAAGTAATAGGAACTGAAAAGAAAGAACATATCGTTGATTGGGTAGTCACTATAGCAAATTTAGACGCTTTGAGTCATGCTACCCGTTCGAACGAATCTGTCAGTTATGGTATATTGCATGGTACCCTTGGTATATTGAAGGGTATTCTTTTTGATATTTTTCTCTGTGTATGCATCTAATATTATTTTGTATGCAATTTATATTTATCGAAATTTTACATCACATAAGCACGCAGTGAGCAACTTTTGTTATTCATATTGATATTTTTCGTATGTTGTTATGCCAATTTTTTACACTTTCATCACTGTGTCAGGGTCAATAAGGTATAATCTCCACGTTTCTAGTTTCACTCGGGACAGGTGAGAATTATGACGTTGAATATCACAATGAACAAATATTACTGAAGCTACTATTGCACCAATAGCACTTCTATTGTTTAGGATTAAGATTAATTCTACCTTTTCTCATGACCTGAAAAACATCGACATTGCAAGTACTATTATACTCGTCGGGTTGTGTCGTAGAACCTGTTTCAAGGTATTCTGTTTCTAAACTTCGCGAGCTTTCACAACTATACACTACAAATATTTTTTTAAAATTATAGAATATCTTTTAAGGGCGCACAAAAATGTAACTGTTAGATTTATTATTTTGTATTGCTGAATTTTTCGATCTCTACAACTATATTTAAGATAAAATATTTTTATTGTATCACTGCCATTTTTAAATCTCTTTAAAAAGCTAAATATTTTTTGATATCTCTATTTTTTCATCCGTCAGCCACAAAATCCACCGTTAACGAATCTTTCTTCTGATTCGATGTATAAATCTCATTTTCAAAATTGTTAAATAACAAAAAATAATATATGGACCCGTCCAACATGTTTTGACTAATAAAATGCCTTTAAAAAGAAACGCCTTTATATTAATGACTGATTAAACGTAAGCGACGAACGATCTTCGTCAGATGTACAGAGAGCCAAAACAAATAAACCATCGTATGGCATAACAACGTACATATATATAGTCGATCGATGTATTAATCATAATTCGCGGAAAAAGGTGTAACTCTCTTAATTAACGAGATACGCATTCACCAAGTTTATATATTTTCATATAATCGTATTACATAATATTACCAAATACTCGCGCATCGTGGCGTATATATCTTTATTATAGCGAGAAAACATGCGACTGAAACATTTCAACGATATCTATTCGGATGACATATTTACTTCGTCTCCTATCGATATGTTTACAAGTCAAGAACACGTGATGCTTTATTCCATCATGCGAATATTTCTTAAACGTTTCTATATATATTTGAAACGTAAATTACTTGAACAATTGTCCTTCGAAATAGAATTTATGAGAAACGAAAAATACGTTCGTCATTGCATTTCATATTCAACGTAACGCGGTTCGAGGGCGCTGTATATCTGCACAATGAACAGGATTTGCATCTATAAAAGAAATTCGAGCTTCTAGTAATTTTTATATCGTCGAAAGCTAAGCTAGTTTTGTAAAGTGTTATATATATATTTTTTTTAATCATTACATTATTATTATTATTAACATTATTCGCTAGAAAAATTCAAAACGTAATTATAATGATTTTTGATCGTATTAAATGAAAATTTCAAAATTCGCCTTAATACTTCGATTAATTAATTTATTTCAAATTGTTATTATTTCGTTTGCAAACGCGATAAATCATCGAAATTTTACTTGAACAAATAAGGATTAAATAAAAATGTATGAAATAATATATAAATGATATATATTCGAATCGAAAATGAACGTATGCGAATTGTGAGCTTGAAGATATTACTTGCATCGAACTCGCATCGTAATTAATAGATAGCTTTACCAGATATTGTCATGTTTGTTTGTATTGGCAGTTTTCCGATTGTTTCATCGCGATATCATTTACCAAACATTGTAATCGTCTACAGCGTTTCTTGTCCTTGACGCGTACATTTGCTGCTCTCTTTTTAGAAAGAAAAGGTGAAAAGAAAGATGGGAGTTTCTTATACAACAAAGACAATGGTATAAGTTAATTTTTCTTACGAGTATAATAGAAAAATTATAAATAATAATTTTTTCGTAACTGCGAACGTTTATTATGTGTTGTTTTCAAGATTCCGGCGCGATGGAAGAAGCAAGAATTTTTTTATATGAGAGGATTAGTTGTCAGGGAATGGAATCTATAAAAATTTCATTTCATTCAATCACTCATTATGCAGAGTTATTGCAAAAAAAAAAATTATTTTCTTTGTTGTCAGTGTATCACATAGTAAATATTTATAATACAGTAAATATTTTATAATTATAAAAAAAACTATTTGACAAGAATCTCTCTTTAATGTAATCTAATGCAAAATCAAAAAATCTTTGAAATAATGTAATACAATAATAAAATTTTTAGTTTCTATTTAATAAAGCTTTTAATATATTTGAAGTTTTTCTCATTAAAATAAAATTAAACATGATATAATTTGAATTATATTTACGTGTATGATAATAATTTTATTCATTAAATAAATAAAATTCAAATTATATCGTATTTGGTCTTATTTTAATTAGAAAAACTTTAAAAATACGTTAGTAAAAGTTTTATTAAAAAATATTTTTAAATTTTATTATTTGTATTAATATTATTTTATTTTTATTTTTTTTTTCAAATACTTCAATTTTTAACTTCTTTTTTTTTTTTCTTTCATTTGTTGCTCTTTATATATTTGGCAAAAAATATAAACTGACTTCGAATCGAATCATATCGAATTATATTGGATAATTTTAATTCTTTTGCTGTTATATTTAATATTTACTGTATTTCATTTAAAATATGATTTCATTTCAAATCAATTGATTGTTACAATACAATATCTCTTTTCTACATGATCTAAATTTCCACTAAATTAGATTATTTTTCAAAAACATAGTTATATTCATCGTTGCATTTAAACCTCTCATATATCCTTTGTTCACAGTGAATCGTTGCTTGTTCACTCGCAGTGACTGAACCAACGTAAAGAAGCCCCTCGAGAACCGAGAAAGGTTACCAAAGCATAGATAGAGACGCTAAAGTATAGTTTTTTTCTACTTCCTTTAGCCGCGCGAAATGTAGTCTTGAAGAGGCTTCTTTCGTTTCGACAGGTCTTCTAAAACTCTGATGTTCGATGACTTCTTCCTAGCACACTGGATCACGAGCATCGTCGTTATTTTTTTCTTTTCCTTAATTACATATATATATATATTTTTTTTTCATTCACTTTATTCTCTCTCTCTCTCTCTCTCTCTCTCTCTCTCTCTCTCTCTCTCTCTCTCTCGTCTATTTTTTTCCTGTATTATCTCTCTCTCTCATCCAAGGAGCTTTCGCAATTGTGTATCTGTTTGTAATCATTCTATTTTTTAATTGATAGTGACGATGGTGATGTTGATGATGAAGAGAAAGTAGCAAATAAATGTTTTTCCATTCAAGGATTGGTCTCTTTATTTATTTCACCACATTGTTCGATAATCCTCATCAAAATTTTCTTCTCACTTGGCTTGAATGGAAAAACCTACTTGCAGCATTCCTCGATAAATAATTAATAAATAAATCTCGATTTGATATCACGATCACGAATATCCATCTTTTTTTTTTTTTTTGTTCAAACATTTTTTTAACTATTTTTTTTTTTTATCGATCGTATCGCATCATCCGTCTTCACAAAGGCGCATTGCATTTTTCGCCTTTTTTGCATTTTTTTCGATTTAAAATTTTTTCCATTTCAATTGCCAAGCGTGAAATATTGTTCGTCGTTCCTCTATCATCTGGTTTCTTGCATAATAAACAAGAAGAATTAAAATATTTCATCGCATCAATCGAAAATTTTTTCTTCGCAGTTTTTTTTACAATTCGAGAGTCAAGAAAGAAAACTTTCACAAATAAATAAAATAGACAATTTTCAATATGAATTTTGATCCTCAAATTGATCGATTATTCTTATAATTACATTTCGAAGTAACGTAACAAAGGTTATACAATACCATAATGTCTGAATACTTTCGAGGATCGATTTTTCCTTTAGTCCGCGCCAACCAGCCAAGAAAGGAACACGTTATTATTGTTTTCAATCTGAATTCGATACCTGGTAAAGTAATCGATAGAGTTCAAGGAAGCGTCGGGATATAAATACATCCAGCGCATTTTATTCTGTACTTATAAAGATAGTTATCGTACTATAAGTATTTTATAAGCATTTTTTTTTTTTTTTTTACAATATAAAATAATAATTTGATTAGTAATTCTTTAAAATAAAAGTTGGTGATCATAGTTCTTAAACGAGCTACATATTATCTCAAAACTTGTTTCAAATGTGACGCAAGATCCGCGTATGGTATAAGTTGCGTATACGCCCATTTAAGAGGCATCTAGTTTTGAAATGCGAGCATTGTTTCTAGTTTTTTAGTTCCTTCTTCCGTCTCACATTATCATACATATAATTCACAACAAAGATCCATTAAAATGATTACAATCAAAATAGTATTTGAAAGTTTATTAATTTATTAAAATTAATAAATAATATTTTTTTTACATTTGTGAAAGCTTCTTCATCATGTAAAAAATAGAATAATTCGAATACTTATCTAGAAAATATCAAAATATATTAATATTTAGTTTTTAAATCGTTGAATAATTAAAATCGAAATTGTATTCAAAATGAAAAGAAAAGAAAATCATAAAGTAGTCAAATATCCAGGGATTGTATTTGCCAAAACAAATTATTCAAATTAATATTCCATTTCTATATTTAAAAATATTAAAATTAATCTAAATAAAATTTGTTCAGAATTTTTACAATTAGAATTGAAGATTCTGGTCAAAGAATAATTTGAATCAGCTTAATCGTTATACAATACAAATATATATTTAGTTTAAACTTAATTTACTTTTATTTTTTCAACATATCTCATTTGTCTTGTCTGTTTTATTATAATAATTATTATAAAAAATTAGTTTAAAACAAAGTTATCAAAATTATTTTTTATTATTTTTTATTTTTTATTATATTCGAAACGAAACTATTGATTTAAATATAGAAATATAGATCTTTGAAGATAGATTTTAGACATTTATTTATATGAAAAAATATAAAGATTATTTTTATTTTATTTTCCTTTCAATTACGTAGCTAGTATTTATTCGTTATAAGCTCACGATTGGAACTCAAAATCGGTCATATATATCTTGCAAGAAACACGAAATTTGATCCGTATTTTATTTTTGTCGATATGGACGTTTATAGAGAAAAATGAACTGAGATGAACCTAAGCATTTGTGAAAAATTTACGATTTGTTTGGGCGTTAAATTTACTTTTTTTTTTTGCTTCAGTAAATACAAGATGAATTGTTGAGCATATAACAAATAAATATTACGAATATTGGAAAAATATTCAATATTGATGCATTGCTTGCTTTTTTGCTGATTTCTTACAGCATCGGGCACAGGTGGCCAAGAACGAAGAGTCAGCATGAGGTTGCACCGTAGGGATGCAGCTGCTGGAGAGATGCAACCGAAGACCAAGTGAGTTGCTATATCACGCCAAAACATCATCGCGGATAAAAGCACCTAAGTATAACTCGCTCTGTCTAGTATATATAGGGAGTGGCCCCTTAACTGTGTAGTCTCGTATAACCAGTCCTTTCGTAATTGTACTGATTATGAGTTAACACAACCTTAATGTTATATAGTGTTTTCATTCACGGAGCTTTTTTTTAACTTCCGGTTTTCGTGTTTTTCGATATCATGGCGAATATTTAACTCTTTACACTTGATCTTATTACATCTTTCGTTTTAAATTTATCAAATTTCTAAATGATAGTTTGTAATGTGATTTTTTTTTTCTGAGTGATTCTTATTAATCGAATAATTTCGACTAATTGGTTGAAAATTTTAATAAGTAATTATTTAAAATATGGATTACTTTATGGATTTTAATAACTTTGAAATATATTGATAATATTGATATTTTGAGCAATTTTTTTTTATAAAAAGATTGTAACAGATTGATATAGAAAAATATTTCTATATTATAGAAGATCAGAATAATTAAAATTATTAAATTTATTTCATAAATAATTTCGTTTTAGAAATTATCAATTTTAATTATAAAGAATTATTAATTATAAATCTAAAATTACATTATTATGATTATAATTAATAATGAAAAATTAAAAATAAAAAATAATATGCAATTTTGACAAACAACCAACCGGTATTAGTTAATTTTAAGAAAATGTTCATAATTATAAATTCGACATATATTACATTTTTTAAATGAGAAAATCTTTAAAAACAAAAATTAAGTATAATGTTAGGATAATATTTTAATATCTAAATGAGATAAAATATTTTATTGAAAAGTTTTTAATATATATTATATTAATAATATATATTAAAAATATATTATAAATTTTTAAAATGATACTATTTCTAGATTAATATATATATATAAATTATTAAATATTTTTATTTAAAATATTCTTTTTCGAGTGTTTTAATTTTTATAGAATATTAGAAAGTAAAAAATTTAGTTTTTTGATGGATTGATTAATATCGATAATCAGTATTAATGTAAAAATTTCCAATCAGGCCGATCGAATTCCCGCTGTAAGATGGCAGTCTTAACAAGTGATCGAACTTCATTGATAGGATGTATTCTTCAAAAAATCTAATTTAATTCATCATTCGAAATATTGGTCCCATTCAAATTCCAAATGAAAATTGCAAAAAATTTAATAAATCTATTTTTGTTGATTTTGTATTTTGATTTAAAAGGAAATGTTTCAAAGTCAAAAAAATAAAAACTTTATATTCCAAGATAAAACTCTGCTTTGTAGTAAAAATTGTAAAATATATATTTCTATTCACACAATAAATTATAAATTAATAAATAAAAATTTAAAAGTGAAATTTTATATATATAAATAATAAGAAATTTTCTTATTATAAATTCACAGAGAAAAAACAAATAACAGATAACACATATTTAAAATTATTTTTAAAAATATATTTTGATCAAGTGTAAACGATTAAATGTTCAAGTTTGCTCGTCCCAGTGATCAAACATGTAAGGCCGGATATAATTTTATCCATTATATTATCCATTATTATTTGGTTTCGGTACACTGTAAAAATTAATTGAGCTTGTTACACTTGGTGCTGCCATTAGAGATTGCATGGAACGTTGCACAAAGTACGGGCAAACATCGCATCGCAAGTGAAATTTTACATGATCGAAATTATAAATTTTTCTATCATGTCACGGTTCGTCATATTGTTATTATTATTCGTAAAATCATTCGAACATATGCGATGATCTCGAGTGTTCTATATATATATACAAGATATTCGATTATAGATGTCCATAAATTTAAAGGGTGATTCTTTAAAACAAAATAAGACAAAAATTAAGAATAAAAAAAATTTTTCTTTATTTTTGCGTATTTCTCAATTTTTATTTATTGATAATTATAAATATAAATCGACGAAAATATCCAAAACTTGAAGAAACAAATTATTGAAGCCAAAATAAACTGAAAATCAAGAATAAAAAAATTGCGTATTTAATTTTATTTTTTATTAAATATAGTTTCTTTTAGTTCATTAGAATCTAGAGATATTTTCTTTGATTTTTAATCATCAATAATAAATAAACAATTTCAAATATATAATTTTTTTATTCTTGATTTTTGTTTTATTTTGATTTGAAAAATCATCCCTTAATCTTCTGAACATCTTGTATAATTTTTTCATCGTGTCTATAATCTCCACGTGTTTTTATCCTTTGTATTATTTGGCTTGCACATTCATTACATCTCCTTATTTATTTATTTTTTTATTTCGTTGTATAAGTATTTTCGAGTATGAAAAATGATACAATTGATTCGATTTTTTATCGTGAAAGAATTTTGTATAAAAAAAAAAACAGAACGGATTAAGTTGAATATATATATATATATATCTATATATTTCGTGATCGATATAAACTCGAAGAGTTGCGCAATTAGTTTTTTTTATCGAACTGTGATTCGCTATTAAAGAAATACTTTTGCTTGCGAACTAGATCTCGACGATGGATGTCAGTGTTAGTTGCATTGAGCTCTAATTTGGCAGGTCACTTTTTTGGTAGATTGGTGTCTTGATACCGTGGCATGGTTCTTCCTTGATCAAAGGATATCCGGGGAAAAGTTGAGAGAGGAGAGGGAATGCACTTTTTGATATTTGGAACGAATATTATATTCTTTCTTCTTTTTAATTCTTTTACTCTTTGTTTCTTCATTTATGTAATCTCATACATTGATAAATGTAAAATTGTCATTTCTTTTTATTTAATTTTTTTTTCTTTCTTTTAATAAATAAAAATATAAAAAAAAAATATTCTTTCCAAATGCAACGTTAAAGATATATTTGCCTGCTACACCGGGTGCACTGGGATGGTTTTTCTTTATATCACATTTTCTTTGTGTTACGGGATCTTATATAATAATAAACAAGTATGGCAGAAAGCCTTATGATTATCGAAGAATTCTCCTTTTATCTCGTGAATTCTTTTATATATCTTTTATAATTTCATCTTCTATTACTTTCTTCTATTACGTTCTATTAGCGTGAACGATAAATCACATGAGAAAAATTACTAAAAATCATTGAATTGAATGATATTGACATTTTTGGGTACTGATACAATGTACGAATGCATATTGAAAGTTATTTTTGATTAGTAGACACTGCGTTAAAAATGAAAGTCATTGTTAGGTATTCTCAACTTATAGACTTAAAGAACAGTGGGTAAAGTAGATTTTAGGTATGGAGAGAGAAGGAAAAAGGCCACGTAGTTATCTTTGAACGTTAAATTCGTGAGTGACGTACTTTATAAGTTATTTATAGCATGATTTATTGGTATTATTGTTATTTAGCGTGTTAATATATTCGAAAATCAGTTTTGTTTGGTTTTTTTTTTAATTTCAATCTTGTGAAATTAGGCATTGTTTTTTAAGTCTATGCTTTCAACTCAATATCTAATTTAACCTAACCTAATATGAATAAATTTGAAAATAAAACTCTCAAGAGTTTTTCTCAAAAGTTTTTGCTAATAGATACTATGTTAAAACTTATTTTTGTTTAATCAAACACTCTCAACGTAGTGTTCAACTAGCAAAAAATAACTCCCAAAAGTAATTTTTTTGAGAGTTTCAATTTTATGTTCATAAAATGTTCTGAGGACTAATCCAACAATTAAAATTTATCATCGTTCATTGCGATCGGGATACCCAAGTAATCGAATATATGAATCGTGTGTTACAAAAAAAGTTATGTTCAGCTCTCGAGATATATGTGTTGTATAATAGAAATATAGGAAAATATATATAAAGGAAAAAATGAGAAAGAATAGATCGCCAATTGAATGATCATGAAATTCTGCTGGGTAGATGATTATTGAACTATTTTTCAAAATATAATTAAATTTTATTCTTTCAAGCTAGAAGTTAGTTTTTTGCATGTCTCTATTAATCCTTTATATCTGTCTATAAACATATATTTGATATTTTAAAATCAAAATAAAGGTTAGATTATTCTCGGATTTAATTTTGTTTTTTATTTCATTATTATATTTATAAATTTTTTCTATTCTATTCGTTAAAGCAAACAATTTAAAATTGTTTTCAATAAGAATAAAAAAAAAAATGAAATTTTGCAGGAAGTCAGTAATCTAATTTGTTTAAAATAAATAATCAACTTTCAGATAATTGTTTGTATATGGATGATATTAAAATGAACTTTATTCAATATTTATAAAAAAAAAATGGAAAAGAGCATATAATTGAAATTAATTTAATTTGAAATTCATAGATTTTTGTTTTCTATAGAAATTTTATTTTAGAGAATCATGAATTTTTAATGGAATTTTAAATTAAATATATAAAGATAAAATTTATAATAAAGGAAAATAATTCATACTTCACTAATTCATATAAAAATTATAATTTAATTATTATATTTTCATATTAATATTAATATTATTATTTGAAATTCAATTAAAATCTTATTGAAGCAATTTAACAAACGTTTGTGCTTTTCATTTTTTGTTCATAGATGGTTATAGTAATCATAAATACAAAATTATATTATTATCTTTCGTTTATCATTTATATTACAATACAGTTAGTAATGAAAAATTTGTTGATCGAATTTATTTAAAAACGGTTCTTTAAGACGATTTTATTATGAATTATTATTTAATCATCATTTTAATCATAATTATTTATGATTAAAGAATATATGTCTTATTGTTTATCCTTTCTTTAATTTTATTATAAGAAATTCATCGATATTCATAATATTGTCAAAGGATTTAAAACTGATTGACATTTTATCAACTTTGTATAAGTTTATCAAAGAGTATACAAAGTTCAAGGCAAGTCACGGAAAGTTGAGAGTTAATAGATAATAGAGATTAGAATTATATTGTAAACATTTTATGTACTATATTTTTAATAATAATATTATAATAAATTTAGTAAATATTATAATAAATATTAATAATAAATATTATACATATATCTCTATAACTTAATTATTGTAAATAATATTTTAAAAAAATATTATAAAAAGAAAAATGAGATTTTAGTATTTTATTTTGTTTATTTTTATTTTTATTTATTAAGTTTTAAAATTTGATAGTATTCAGAAAAAATATTCATACATGCTTAATATAAACAATCATAATTTTATTAATGTAGTTGTTTAAAAGACAATTATACATCAAGATATAAATAATTAATCCAATTTATAAATAATACAATTTCTTTTTTTAAATCTTTGATTTCTTGAATTTTAATTTAATTATTTCCTGAATTAGTAAATATCTATTGTGCCAAGTATTTTCTATTTTTTTGATCAAACTTTAGAAATATAAGAAAAGTAGAAAAATATTCTATATATAAACAAAATTATGATTATTTGAATTAAATGTATCACGTTATTTATTTATTTTTCGGTAACTATATAATATTTTTTAATATATTATTAATTTATATTATTGCAACAATTAAATTTAAATAAATTATTTTAATATTATAATTAGAAATGTTAGAATATATATACACGAGAGCTGAAAAACATATTTGACGATTAAAAAATTTTTTCTTACTGGGTACACCACGCTTTGACTGACTGGGTATTCGAGAACTTGTGCATGCACGCACGCACGTTTCTTACTTCTCTTCTTTCTCTCTCTCTCTCTCTCTCTCTCTCTCTTTCTCTCTCTCTCTCTCTCTCTTTCTCTCCCTCTCTCCCTCTCACTTTCTTTAAATATTTTGTCGTGAGACGATAGTATACGATGTATTTAATATTTAATGTCGTAGAAAGGAACAAATTATAAAACAAAACAAAAAAAATATAACGCAATTCGGCATCGAGATTTATTCTAGAATTCCGCTTTATGTTCTTTCGTTGACTTTTTTTCAGGTAACCGAAAGCTAAGACACTAATTCTAAATCACAAAAGTAGGCAAAGAGGGGGCGAAAGTAATCTCCTGTGCCACGGTAGCGGACACCGGCGAAAAAACTGAAATCGTGGATTAAGAACATTAAAAGAAAAAAAAAAAAAAAAGAAAACAAAAAAGCAAAGAAAAATGCGAAAAAAAGCGTGTTCGCCTTGCGATCCTTCTCTCTCTGACCTCCTCATAGCTCTGTAGAAACGAAAATTCTCTCATTTCGAGTCTCTTGCTTTCAAGCCTTTGATCCTGCCACGTCACTGTGTCTCACATATACAAATATATCGCGTGTTTCCAATTTTATTAAAAAAAAAAAAAAAGCTTTCTGCTACATATTACAGAAATTTCATCTGCTATATATTTGATCTCTCGTTCGTCTTATGTTAAACGATTAATTTGCTTGTTATACTCATTTCGCCATTATGGCTGTTATGAAAAATATATCTCGATTACCAAAAGAAATTCATAGATCGTTGATCAACGAAAAACGAACTTATGATTTTTTAAAAGAAATGCAAAAAAAAAAGAGATCGATTAAGCCCGAGAAATAAAAGCAGATATCATATATATATGAAAGAAAGTATGCTATGTCAAGACAGGAAACGAGAAAGATAAAATAGATAGTGAAGAGTAAAACTCTCTCTCTCTCTCTCTCTCTCTCTATCTCTATCTCTATCTCTATCTCTCTTTCTCTTTCTCTCTCTCTTCTCTCTCTTCTTTCTCTGTCTTCCCTTTGAGCTATCAAGTTTTGCTATAAGCGATACGGTGGAATGGAACAAAGTGATGGAAAAAGAGACGAAATGAGCTGAAAACTAGAGAGAAGGAGAGGCAAAGGAAAAAAAGACAAAGTTTTCGATCGTGTTTAAACGGTGGAAAGGACGGTAGCGCGTTAATGTCCGTGTTTGTGTATCTTTTATTTTGGAAGCGCCAATGCAATGGCCCCACCCATCCCGTTGGGCAGGCAGGCGAGCGTTCAACACAAGTAAGTCAACAATGGCAATAGCGGACTTTTCGTCGTCTTCGTTCTCGTCGTTTTCGTCCTCCTCTTCCTCAGTGATCTCGTCGTCATCGTCAACATGGACAATGTCATCGATAGCCTCGAGGTTCGAATAAAGATAAATACGACGAATAGTTTCTCCCGAATCGAAAAGAAGGAAGGATAGCGATCGAAAGTGTTTTTATCTCTCGTCTATTCGAAAACGATATTAGATCTCTTGGAGAGATGATCTCTTAGGAAGAAATTGTTTAAAAATTACATCGACGATAATTGTATCGATAATCATGGTCCATCGATAATTCTTGACGATCAATGTGTTCATTGACGAGCCAAATGGTGTCACGATCGATGATTTAAAAACGCAGATCTCTTGGAGTATCGAAATAACAACAAAAAGTTAAACTTTCTCGATTCCAAATGGAGATGGGGATAAGTGTGTCGGAATATAGAATGCAACTTTGCCAAAGTTAGTGGGCGAGGTTTGATTCAACGAAGTAAAACGATCGGTGTCGATCATGTTTACCGAAATAGGTCAATGAGACAGACTATTTCTAAACGATCGTGAACATATGTTTTTACAGCGACGAGTGCGCAATATTTTGCAAACGAAACTACTTGTTGTATTGAATGAATCCTTCCACGAAGGATTAGAGGTTTTTAGAAATAGAGGGACAACACAGTTTTACAGTGTATCGATTGAAACCCATTGAAATAATACAAACTTTACAGCAGATTATTCATTATTATATGTAATATTGTACATTATTCATTATTATATGTATTATATATGTATACAATATATATATATGTATACATATATATATGTATACACATATAAGAAATTTGTAAAGATTGGAAATCTGATTTTTTTAGGAAATTCAAAATGTTTATTTTTTTCTATTTTTGATCAATAGTATTTTGCAAAATATCATTCAATTTTTCGAATTCAAATTTATAGTCAGAAAACAATAATCTTACTAATTTTTATTAATATATATTATATTATAATATATATTACTATAAATATTATTATATAATATATAATATATATAATAATATGAAATTAAATAATTAAAAATTATTTTATAATTAAAAATAATTAAAAATTATTTAATTTTATTAATTATTATTTTATATTAAATTATAATTTTGAATTATTTGTTATTATTTAATTTTTAATGAAAAATTAATTTTTACTTTCTATTTTTATATTCGAATTTCAAGAATTTCGAATCATAAAAATAACAAAAAAAAAAATTTCAATAAATTTCAAAGTTACAAAGTTTTTAAATATAACATTCTTAATTTCGTTTCATTATTATTCTTATTGTATAAGTAAATTCTTATCGATAAAGTTTGTATCGATCATTTCAATGGGATCAATTAAGGACGCTTCATAGAGAGCGTGGTCCGTGATTCTTATAGTATAGATGGCGAGTGTACAGTACGCGATTTCGATGATGTATCCTTGTAGTCTTTCCAATATGACAACCAATATAAAATTTATCGTATTATCAATGATCTTCAAAACGTGGTTAGAACGTTTAACCACGTTATCAAGATTACATAATCACAAATAACATGTGATTTATTTTTAGAACATTTCTTTAAAAAATTTAATTGGAGATAATGCGTTATCCCCATTAAAAAATGAATTTTCGCTGATCGTACTATCTTTTTTGCCTAACATTCCTTCGAAATAAGCTCGAGTTCACTGGTTCTCATTTCGATCACAATGGATCACGGGAACAAGTGGATCGAGCATGATATTGTATAAACGTATAGATTATATTCCTCCATCCCACTAAAACACGATTTGTACATAGACTAAATCTACATCGACGGCAGGACGATGGTTCTCGGCCGGCGAAACTCACGCAATTACGCAATCAACCGGAAAGAACTGCGAAAGCGAAGTCGCAACAGTTGCACGATCCGATTTCCTTCGAGCCAAACTTGAGGAAACCCACGAGGAGTCAAAATCCATTGCGCTAGGCGATTTCAACGGTGACAGTGAATATCCTGTATATATCCGTGACTGTTTGCTGAATTACAGAAAAATCGGATGACTAGAGCGTGGCTGTAAGGTAAATCCAAATAAATCGGTTATGTCAATGTTATGGGGCTAATCAAGGAACAATTAAGATGCGCCAATATCGATCGAGCGTACTGTACATTTCGTGTTCGCGCGCGAACTTCGATTACAGATTTTTTTTTTTTTTTTTTTTTTTTTTTTTTTTTTTTTTTTTTTGTCTACCGCGTAATTGTCGAACTGCGAATCCATTTGTTCGAGGGAGATGATCGTTTTTCGAAACGAATTATAAAAGATAATACGAATGAATTTTTTGTGTACGAGTATCTCTCCTCTTCTTACCACGCCTCTCGTTCCTTTTTGTTTTGTATTATTTTTGATTCTACTTATTTTCTCGAATGAGAGGCGAACGTGTTTTAAAATTTGATATAGTTTGCAGTAATGCCTCGACAGTAGACGTAGAGGTCATCCCCACTATTTCCTGAAATTACTTCGACCGAGCCTTTGCGTTTTTTGTACATTAGAAGTAACTAAGGAGTAGTCGAACGTCGATGTCTTTTTTCATTTCACTTAAATTTTTTGTTTATTTGCTCGTCAAGCGATCCGAAAAATACGACGGTACAAGTAATTTTCTCCTATTAATAAACAAACTGGGTTTACTATCGAGGTATTACTTGTAATAATTAACCTAATAACCGGGTTTATTATTTAATTAAAATTCTCAATAACTATTAATTAACTAGAATCAAAAATTACAAGAAGACAAATCAATTTTAATTAGATCGCGTTAACATTTAACTGCTATGGTGGGGATTAGATTTATAGCTGCTACAAATATATTTTCCTCTATACTTACGTTTTATATTTTTGCGAGGGTGTTTCAATAGCTGACTTTATTCACATTAAGTTATAGTTGTCATTTGCAAAAAAAAAAAAAATATTATAAACAGAGAAAGAGACAAAAATTATGGGTTATTTTAATCCACACCATATCAGTTGAGGACTATATATGATATTTAAAAAAAATCCATAAATAAAAAAAATTATTAAGTTTAAGAGATTGGCAATTCAAGTGAGTTCTTTCCCGGTTAAAAGGTTAACGAAAAGAGAAAAAGCTTCGTGTGATAATAAAGAAGAATGTAAAAAAAAAAAAGATGTAAAGATCACGATTGAACGTTACCAAATTTATTCGTTCATCGTGTGCTTTGTGTACATTGTATCCTTTTCTGAGTCGTGTTGATGCGTGCTTGCATTTTCGACTTACTACGTGTACGTGATATGAGAAATTTTGCGTGATCAAATTATAGCGAGATTAGGGTGGAGGAGAGGGGAGAAGAGCAATATTCCAAATTTGCATAAAGAGGAACAATCGGTGGAATACATTTATATATATTCTTATGAATATCGTGGTTTTCTAATCTTACTTCTTGATAACATTATACTCTCTCGATGATCTTAAAATATTTCCGCCAGTGATAATTAAATCTTGCAATGATACACTATGAACTTTCAAAGATTTAGTATTTGTGTCATTTGTGTCACATCGCAAAGAATTTTGAAAAAAATTAATCACGAGATATATCTTTAAATATTTACTTTTAGTAGTTATGTAATTAAATATTGAAAAGAAAATTATATGAGTTTTGTATATTTATAAAAATTTTGCAAGAGATTAGATTTATTTGGAGGAATGATAAATAAGTCCAGGTGTGTCATTGCCAGGTTTAAAAAGTTCAAATGCACATGGCATTTTTAAAATGGATTAGACAAACCATGAATGTACATTAAGAAATTCACCGGAAATCGAGTTTCTCTTTAGCGTGAACAATTGCCTTGATTCATGAAATTTTGTTGAATGTGCGACTGTAGTGAATTTTAGAGTAAAGGGGAGAGACGATAAAGGGATAAGCGTGTAAGTGTCCGAGAGAAAAACGCGAGGAAGCAGTATCCCTGATATACTATATAATATAACACGATTGTTCTCGCGCGTGAAATACATTTTTTTGTTTCAGACGAAAATTCAAGCCGAGAACGACTGATTTGCTCCGGTGTGAAACGGTTCGACAACCGATTTGATTCAAATTTTGTATATATATATACATACATGTATTACTTTTGTACATGTAAATACGTACATCGATTAAGATAGCTTGAAGATATTTCGAAAAAAACGCGTTTTATGCATTGAATAGATTTTTATTTTGAAACTAAATTTGAATTTGTATCAATTGTTCATTGTTTTTTTTTTCTTTTTTAATTCAGCAATTATCCATATCTTGAAATTTAATAATTAAATCATTAATACACTCACTTTCTTTTTGTGATAAATGTAAAGATCATTTTTTTTTTTAAGTAAAAAACAATTGACGAGGCTTTTTTTCATCTCTATATGCAGTTCCTTTTTTTTTATCATTATTACTCCATATATTATTTTACGTTAAGTTTATTCATTTTTTTTAGATTATTCTTTTAGATAATTAATATAATTTAATATTGAGGGACGGAGATGATTAATATTGTTGATTTTATTCAAATAAATTTAAAGAAAAATTATTTATCATATATCAAGAATCGAACTTGAAATCTTTTTTTTTTTTTTTTTTTTTTTTTTACATTAGAGATAAATACTCTAATGCGAATTCACTCTGTTTATTCTTTAATTACGATCTGAATATTATATATTATGTAATTTCGATTTAAAAATGTATAAAAAAATATTTAACACAAATTTTTTTTTATATAATTTTTTTAATGTGTTTTATGCACATTATGTTATCATCAAAGACATACATTAATTATTTACAAAATCTGAATCAAATCAAAAATCTAATAATCGTTTATCCGTTTCGTTAGCCAATCGATTATTCGACGGAAGTAAAAAAAGAAAAAAAAAATATATACATATATATATCGAAGTTAAATTCCTTCCGTGAAATCGCTCGCGTCTCCTTTCATCCCTTCATATTTCAATCTTAAACTCTTCACAATTTTCATCTGTCCATCGCCCTATTCACTTCCTGTTGCCTCCCTCCTCCTCCCTTGATCGAATTTTTCTTTGTATAAAAAAAAGTATCGTGGACGCATTGCATACAAAAATGGTGAAAAACAAAAAAACGTGATATAAAAAAAAAAAGAAGGTTATATATAAATATATATTATACCGACACGTGTTTTTCTATGTATTTTTTTCATAGGGTACTACTACTACTGCTATTATTATTACTATTACCAATTAACTAATAACTAATTAAAACTACTACCAACTATTACTATCATTACTACCGCTGCTGCTATTGCTAATTTACACACACACACACACACATACACATACAAACATAAAAACATTCAAATTTACTGTTATGACTTGTATTAAAAAAAAAAAAAAAAAAGATGACTTATTAACCCTTATGTCAATATTAAAAAAATTTTCATCAAACATCGTTTTGATTTTGCTATTTTTGTAGCGATACCATTTTTATATTTGAAAATATAAATTGATAGCAAATATGATACCAAATAATGGTGATGTAGATAGATTTAAAAATATTTTGATAGGAAAATAAAATATTTTAAATCAAATATTTATATTTTAAATTATATTAAATAATTACATTAATTTTATCGTGAATACAGTAAATATTTTAAAATTGTCCTACATAATTATAAAAGATTCATTATGAAGTTCAAAATGCGAGCAATGTAATCAATTCGAGAAATATTAATGAGAGAATATTAATGATAAAATTTGTCTATTTTTTATTTCTTTTTTTTTTTTTTTTTTTAATGGAAATTTTGTCAAAACATTTATCTTCTTTCTCTTTAAAATTCTTGTTTCTAAAATAAAACTTAATACGATATAATTTGAATTATTTAATAATAAATGATAACAAAATTTTTTCTTTATTTTAAATAAATGATATAATCTAAATAATTAAGTAAATAAATAAATTATATCGTATTTGACTTTATTTTAATCAGAGATATTTTATAAATATATCGTTAAAATTTCTATTAAAAAAAAATCAAAAATACAAAAATTTACTACATTAGTATTATCTAATTATTCACATATTTTTTTTTTTTTTTCAATCTTTCGATTTCAAATCTTAATTCTCTTTCACTTTCGCTTTCACTTGTTATTCTTCTCTGTATTTTCAACAAGAAACGTAAACAAATTTCCGCTACGTCAGAATTAATATCTTCTGTTAACGTCGAATTTTTTTCAATTATGAAATATTTACTGTACCGGATATCCTGGTGTTGACATAAGGATTAATCCGCAACGATCATTTCGAGAAAAAAAAGTAAATTTTTGACAATTTATAATGGAAATGACGAATCTTTATACAATTTTTTGCGTATTGCAATCTTTCCGCCATTTCTTTTTTTTGTTTTTATTCTCTTTCCACAATTTTGCATATTCTCTGCGCTGATGTTCAATTTGGGCTCTCTTGTACAATTGTGAAATAATATTATTAATAATATTTATCAGATCACAAGTTTGATTTGTAATATTATTTATAATAATATATATTTAATTATATTATTATGTGATATTTGATGTTATTTATGTGAATTAAAATTAGTGATTAAATCACAAGTTAGTTTGATACCTTGTAAATTATTATTTTTCATAACAGTAATAAAAGAAATAAAGATTTAATAAGATTTAATAAATCTTGTAAATTACAAGTTATCTAGTTATTTTATTTAATATAAAATTGTAAAGAAAAAATTTATAACCTAATTTCTTACTTGTCAATATTATTAATTGATAAATCATTGGACAAGAGAGTTTTAATTAAATTTTAGAATAAGAAAAAAAAATTGTTAGAAATATATTTATCTGTTAAATGTTTTTTTTGTGAATTTCAAGATCATTTTTTTCAAAATGTATCGATTATTGTTGAATGTATTTAGTGAGAATAAGATATGACTTTAAGTCTGATTCATATTTTGTTATGTTTTAGAAATTATATATTTATAATTCGAATAGTGAAACGTGAAAATATTAAAAAACGCTTTCTAGTTGTTTATTTATAATCATAATTTTATAATCCAAAATTTGGATTGTTAAAAATTTATATCAATGTTTAGTTGCCTCGTTTTACATGAGCGCAGAGGGTTAACGATGATTACTTTACTTTTGGAAGAAGTCGAGATCATTATAAATCATTATAAATATTATAAATATTTATTTGAATTACGTTTGTATTCATATTAGAAATTTGATTAATAATTAAGAAATATTAGAAAATATTGCATGATGATTCTTATCGTTCTAAGATTTAATTTATTTTATACAAAAAAAATTATTCTGCAATACTTTGCAATTGTTGATTTGATATTACACTTCGTCGTCTTCCACAGATGATATTTTTCATATTATCTTCAATCAACGTATTAATTTTTGCTTTTGTCGAAAAATATTCTTGATTCGATTGTGTCCATGCTAGTTGGCTAAAATTATTTAAATTCAAAATAAAAATAATTATAGCTTTCGAATTGTAAACAAATGTTTTGAAAAATTAAGATTAAGTTAAGGCTAATCTTGTTGATTGTTCTTCGTTGAGGCTTCGTAAAATAATGTTTTTATGTTAAATATTGAATCAAGGATTATTTTTCGAATTTTGACTTAGAGGAAACAAACACTGCCAGCGCAGGCGGAAATTCTTGCGTTCTCTGTTTCATGACTGAATGATACGCACAGAAATTAATTTTGTCATGATTCGTCATTTCTTCTTGAATATTGTTGCAATTGAAGGAAAATATTCGAGAAAAATAAAAAGTCAAAGAAATAATCTCGAGATGATTAGTGCCAATACAAAAAAAAAAACGTCAGCATATATTGTTTTTTCCCCGTTTTACAATGGAACAATTTGCGCCACACGAACTATGTTCGATCAAATTGAAATAGAAACGTGATAAAAATTTTAAACGAGAGAAATGATAAAAATCCGAAGGAAGTCGTTGACGTAAACTGAATTAAAAACAAAAGCTAGTTAACAAATTAGCTAATAAAGAAAGAAAAACGAAAAAAAAAAAAGAAATGATAAAGAAAAAAGATTGTGCGCGCTTGATTTCGCTCGGCCTAGTGGAGCTTCTTCTTTTTCTTCTTCTTTATCTTCTTCTTCTTATTCTATTTCTTCTCGAGTCTGTAAGGAGCCTATAGCAATTCATATGAGACTTCTTAAAAACGGAGAAGAACTGCGGAAAGAAAAGGAATGAAAAAAAGAAAAGAAAAGAAAAGCAAGAACAAAATTAAAGAACATACGAAGTAGGGAAGAGTTTACTTGAAGACATTTACGACGAGGCGTCACGACGATCACGGCATTGAGGTATATAAATTCGCGATCAATCATATTTTAACTATAATCGAAATTGTACCGATTTGCGAATGGTTTGTATATGTATATATATACATATACATATATAATCTATTCAAAAGATAACTATGAAATATAAATAACGTATGTGTGCGCATGCGTGTATGATTTGCGAATGACGGTGAATTCTCTTTTCATGTAAGTATGATTTACTTATTCGAACTGTACTACATAGTGCGTGATGCAACGAGTGTGTGTGATGATATTGCGAAAGGAAGAATGGGGAAAAATAATTAGATGAAATGTCCGAAGAAGCAAAGCAAATATCGACAAAGAGTATTTATAAAACTGCCTTTGTGTATTATACATGCAAGAAGGGACAAAGCAAAGTGTTTTTTAATAGTTTGGAATTGAGCTGCATTAGGCTTGCTTTCCTTTTTAACTTCTTCTGATTTTTATTTCGTTTCATCAATTTAACATTTGTGTTATACTTGTGTATCAAAATTCTTGTTTCTGCAAAGACAAAGGGAACAGAATGACAGATCGAAAGAATTCAGTATTTACTCGTTATAACCTCAAAATTCAAGAATGGCACGAGGATATGTGTAACTGTTAAAGATACGAAATTTTAACTTCATTTTATGTTTATAAAGAATGATAGCTAATGAAAGACAAAAAAGAATTGAAATTCAAACATTTGGAGAAATTTATGAATAGTCATTAGATCCTATTAAAAAGGATTGTCACCCAGTGATGAGAATGATTCCTGAGCATATAACGAATAAATTCTGTACAATATATATTTGAGAAAAATCTCGAGAGAGAGAGAGAGAGAGAGAGAGAGAGAGAGAGAGAGAGAGAGAGAGAGAGAGAATGATTTGTGTGCGTGTACATATCTGTGTATGTGGAAAGATACGCGGAGCAAAACATATTTGTGGCTTTTGTTGCATTCTATTACGAGTTTTTTCGTTTTTTCTTCATCGCATAAAACAAAAAAAAAAACTCTTGCCATCTTTGAGACTCGACCTTTTGCTTGCATTCACATTTTCTTTCTTTATAGGTTGATGAAAAGCACGAGCGGCTAACTGATCGACTAAACGTCTCTAGGCTACCCACGGATTTAATCGTCGAGTTTAATCCGGTGGCGAGAGTTTGAGAGGGAGAAAACGCCTAGCCGGAACGGCGAGCGTATACGAGTCGAACTGTCATTTCAGTTGTGTCTCTAAGGAACCCGATCCATTTTCTCCTTGGAATCGATGTAGAAAAACCGAATACATAACATATAACACTGATGCTTTCGCCACACATTTCTTTCTTAGTTTCTCGTCGTGTGTATTATGCGTGTACGATCTTCGAGGATGGCAAGAGCGAATAGGTCGAAAGAAAGAAAAAAAAAAAAAAAAATCAGAAAAGTAGAACCTGCGCTTGATTATATTGATTGAATCTGCATTTTGAAAAAAAAAATGCAAAAAAAAAAAATTATCGACAAGATATTATTGCGTGAGAATAACGACGAGAAAAAGAAAAAGAAAAACGTATAAATTTGCGAATATTTAACCTATCGCCGCGGATTGTCGACCCACTAAAGAGCGTTGTCCTTCGTTCTTTCTTTGGAGAACATGATAAAAAGAACATTTTTCATTGGAAAAATTGTTAAACGAAGACAGATACTTTGGTGGGTCGATCAGAAATTAAGGAAATTAAGCTTGCATTATTCGAAATTCTTGATGTGAGTTCGTTAACTCCTAAACTGAAGTGCAATTGTAAAAAAAAAGGAAAAAACAAGAAAAAAAATGACCGTCGCTGTTTGCTTGTTCGTCTATCAATATATGTATTGACGACGACGCGATGAATGTTGCGTGAGATGTTCGAATTTTTTTTTCCGTTGTCTTCGTACTCTTATTCTTTTTTCGTCTTTTTCTATTTTTCATTTCTTCTCTCTTTTTTTGGTAGCCTAACGCATGACTTGAAGTTAATCCTTTATGAGTGATGGAAATAGGGCCATAAGAACAGTGCGTACACAACCACAATGACATTCTCCGAACATGTTAATAATAATCAAAATAGGCAGCTATTTAATAACCGCCGTACTCTTTGGAGATTCCCGAGTAGCGTGAACGAAGGTGCATTAATGAAACAGCGTTTCTACGTGTTAATCGATTTTAATACTTGTACTCTATCGAATCGTAGAATAGTGATTCTTAATCTGCGAACGTGTAATCATGTATTTTTTGAAATTTACGAAAGACACTTGATGGTCTATAATTAATTTTTTATATAATACAAAGAGAAGGGATATAACTCTTAAGGAAAGTGAAAAAGTGAAACTAGGCGATCGTCCGTTTTACTTATTAATTTTTTTTTCTTTTCTTTTTTCTTATTCTTTTTTTTTTTTTTTTTTTTATTTAGTCTTTTTCGTTTGATCGAGTGGCTGCGAAACAATTTTGCGAAATGATTAAGAATTACTGGCATAAAGGGTTAATTTTGAATGGAAATGCTTTGCTCGTAACGTTGATTGCGAAAGGAGATGTGAATCAAATCAAATGCAACGTATCTAAATCAGTTTGAACGTTTCTTACCGTGCAGGCAGTCTAATTTCGCGTTTTTCTCCGCCACTTTATGTTCACTGTAGGGATTCAAATAATTATTGATTAGAAAGAGCCGAAAAAACGAAATGTTTGTTTTAAACCGGAAATGGCGACGATGGGAGGGACTTCGATGAAACAATAACGCGTCTCGTCTTAAATATTTTCAGAAAATAAATGAGTTTTCTTTCACGACGAGCGTTCATTGTTTCACGCCGTTCCCTTCCGTTTGCTCACCGAATTCTAGTTAAATAATGAAAAAAGAAGAAACGAAGCGTTTTTTAAATTAAACGAGATAAACGAATAACTGTGTTAATCTTTTTTTCTTTCTTCTATTTCATTCTTCTTTCTAAACCTTGTTTCCTCTCCTATATATTTATATTCAATAAAATTTTAATAAGACTCAAAATATAAAACAGTTATAATATTAAACACAAAAATACTTATTTGAATTGTATTTCAATTGTATATAAAAGAAATAATATTTTTTATTTTATAAAATTATTTTTTTCTAAAATTAAAAATATAATTAAAATTTATATAAATAATATAAATATATAATATATATTATATAAAAATGATATAAATATAAAAATAATATAAAAATAAATGATATCGAAGATTGATTTATACAATTATGTTGCTAAAAATCCACCATCCACTGGCAATGTAATTCCGTTAATCATTGAGCTATGATTGCTTAATAAATATACTATTGCATCTACTACCTCGAACACTTCTGCAAAATATATAAGAATAGAATAAAATATAAATAATAAAACTGATAGAAATCTATTCCAAAAATAGATTCCATAAATAAAATGATTACCTACCACCAAATCGACTTAATGGTATTTTGTCTAACATAGTTCGTGCTTTTTTCGGATCACTCCAACCTAATTTTCCCATTTCCGTCAAAATCACTGTAGGATTTATGGTATTCACTCGAATATTATAGGGACCAAGCTCAAGAGCCATTGTCCTGGAAAAGAATAATTATTAAAAATGAAACTTATTTAATAAATTTTATCAGCTATTAAAAAAAGGTAGGTAAAATAAATTATAGATACACGTAAATTATACCATAATAGATAATTATAACTTATTATAATTATAACTTAAGTTTTTAAATATTTTTTAAGATTTTTATAACATAAAAAATGCAATTCATTTTTTTTATTTATATTATAAAATAATATTACAAGAAGAAATATTAAATATCTTGAAATAAATTAAAAACTAATTTCTTACTTAGATAACATATCTACTGCTCCTTTCGAAGCGCAATAGACAACATGATCCTTCAAAGCTGCTTGGCTAGCTTGCGAAGAAATATTAACAATACTACCACCAACTTTTCTTTGAATCATATTTTTTGCGACTATCTGAGAAACATTCAGTATAGCTTTCACATTTACTGTAAATGTTAAATCAAAATCTTCTGGTGTAGCATCGAAGAAAGAATTAAGATATGCAACACCGGCATTATTTACTAAGAGATCTATAGGTAATACACTTTCAACAGCTTTTCTAGTGGCGTTCCAATCGCTGAGATCGACGCAAATAGATTGAATACGAGGATCTTCTGTACATAACTTATCTAGATTGTTTTTTTCCTTGGATAGCGCTATTACTTGACCTTCATATTTGGAAAGACGAAGAGCCAAATCTTTACCAATACCTATGATTTAAAATATTTAATATGTTAAATAAATAATATCTTGTGAAGGAAAATAATTATGAATGTAATTATATATCTAGCATGAAATAAATATGAATGAATGTGATTTATAGTTGGTTTATAATCATGATATAATTGAAAAATTTCTTATCTATCAATTTAAAATACAATAATTTGAAATATTTTGTAAATGAAATGTAAGATAATTAAAAACAATTATAAAATAAGAATATTTATTAGAAAGATATTAAAAAATAAAAAAAATAAATATTGAAACATTCAGATAAATCTGATTCATAATATGAATCTTATAAATTTATGATTTACAATTAGTTATATTATAATCATAATTAATATAATTATTTACAATTAATACAATTAATAGAATTAGTACTAATCGAAATTTTTTATAAATATCACAATATATTCATGAAAAATTATTTTCAATGAGAACTATTGTATTTCAAGATAAATATTATTACATAACCAACTTTTATCAAATAAAAAATATATAGCTCTTTCTGATTGGTTCAATTTAAATTCTTTATCAATAAAGAAACAAAAACAATGTTGGATTTAAAATAGAAAAGAATTTAAAATAGTATTTAAAAATTGTCTTTATTAACAATTAAAATTTAAATAGAAGAAAGTTTACTAAATTATGAATATATCAATTATAACATACCTCGTCCAGCTCCTGTTACAAGAATACGTTTTCCCACAAAATTGATGTTCATGGCTACGAATGCGTTACCAACTACTACGAAATATTGCTTGTTAAATATATTTATTCCATTTAACCCCACCAATAACCATCAACTATCTGTATTAATATTGATACTAAAGATGGCAGAATAAATTGGCGCTTATTCAAATATGTTTAATATTATTTATTATAATTTTAAAAATCTATAATCCAAAAATTAATTTGTTGCAGTCATATGTTGATAAATTTTTATTTATGATTATAATTTATTAAAAATAAAGATAAAAATTTTACATCTTAAACAAAGTTTTAAAAGAATTTTTTTTTTCTTTTTTTAAATCTTTTTTATTATTTATTATTTGTAAAAATGTAAATAGTAAAAATAATAAAAGGAATAATAATAAAAATATTAATAGTGATATAAGAAGGAATTTATTTTTAAAAAATATTTTACAATTTTCATTTTATCTTATATATACTTTTAAATTTTTAGCAAATTATATATATTTGAGCAATTATTTTAAATGATCGATTATCGATTATATTGATATTGTAAAAGATTCATATTATAAATGGTTTCCTGTCAAATTTACATTTATGTAAAAATTATACTACGAATATTATTTTATCTTTGAAATTTATTATTTTTATTTATAAATGAAATATATAAATTTTAACAAGTATTTCAGTCAATCAATAAATAAATTACGTATATTAATTCTTGAACATTAGTTATCATAAATTTTAACCTCTACAAAACGACATTTCTCGAAAAGCGTCGATGAATGTAATGTCATGAATTGTTATACGAATATGCAACGTAATAATGGTGTTTTGAAAATTAATGTGGCGAATACAAGGTAATATATCTTAAAAAGTAATTTTTATTGAAATTATTAAATTCATTCATCAAAATTAATGTATAATTTATATAAATACTATTACAACTTAAAATAATTATAATTTTCTATGATTTTTTATAGGTTAGATTGGAATATGACATTTGTTCTGAAACTATTATAATTTTTATCTTCTTTATTTTTACAATAAATCCATTGAAGAGGAATATCAATATCAAAAGTTATAACAGAATTTTATATGATTAAAACAATTATGAAAACAATGGCATCCGAGAATTTTTTTGGGAGTGGTGGCACATTTCATCGTGCTTTGATGTTTATGCTCAAACTTGGTTGGCAATCACGATTTCGTCTCCCAATTCTTCTAGTTATTGTACTTGTCGCTATGGATTACAGACTTCAATTAGAAATTGAATTTGAAGTTAATCCTGAGCAACATAATCATTTGTGATTTAAGAAAAATTATTTATAAGTTAATTCTAGATTATATCATTGAAGAAAAATTTAAATCATCATAGAAAGTGCAAAAAGCTATTTTTCACTCTATAATAAGAATTTCAAGGATTAAAGGGTATTGTTGATACTTTTATTCATATACTTTTGTTATAGTTTCTAATTGTTGCAGATTGATGCTGTGTTAGAATTATATAGGCTAAGAAAATTATTAACTTATTAATATTAATTAATATTTTTAATTATTCATATATCATACTTAGAAAGAAGAGATAACATATAAGTTTTTGACAATGATTCAATCAAATTTAAAATATCAATTTGAATCAATCATTGTATAATATATAATTTTTACTTTTTGCTTTGTTCATTATAAGTTTTAAATATATAGTAGTCCTTCGATTATTTGACTTAATAAAAACAAAAAATTTGTAATAATTAAGGGGATCAAAAAATCAGGGAATTTTATTTCTTAGACCAATAGATAGATATAAACATATCATGGTACAGTTTTTAGGATATGATATATATTATCTAATATATATTTAGGAAATAAATGTTAAATATTTATTGAATTGAATTTTTAATAGAAATGTGAATAATACAGCAATATATAATTCAATTATATTTCAAAAATTTTTATTTTTATTTTCATAAGAATAGATTTGGTTATATGATTTCTTTTTATTTTGTAGTCAGCATAATTCATAAATTGGATAATCGAAGGACTACTGTAATTTTTTTATATTTATTCATTTATAATATAATATAACGTGTAACTTTTAATATTATATTAAGTTACATATCTTTGAGACTGATATTTAAACAAATATCTTTATAAAGATATAAGAAATATGAAAAAGATGTAATAAATGTGATCAAATAATATAAAATGGTACAGTTAATAAATAATCAAATTCCTTTGCACTGTACCTATTATCATATATTTAGTCATCAAAAATATCCATATAAATTATGTGAATATATCTATTTTTGCTAAAACATTAGAAAATCTATTTAAAAATATGTTAATAGTTTATTCAAAAGATTTATATGATTATAAAAGGCTGATGAAATATTAACATAATTTTAATTCCTTCAATGTATGTAATTTTTTTTTATTAAATATTTTATATTCAAGTAGATTTTTGAAACTTGATAACTATTAAGTGAATATACAATCCTATATAATTTCATTTTTCACAAATGCTAATTTAAATAAAAAATAGTATGTAATTAAATTTTCTAAGTAAAATAACAATAATTTAGAATAATAATTTTAAAAATAATAATTTAGAATAAAAATATAAATGTATTTTTTACAAATATTTTATGAAAACAGAGAAAAATTATTTCATTTATTTCATGTTATTATTTAAACATGTTATTTCATACAATACTTCAATTTTTGTCAAATATTATATATTTACGAATTTCAATCTAATGTTAATTGTAATATATGAGAATTAGATTATTACATATGCTATGTATGTAGATTTAAAATAAATATTATATAATTAGATAATATTAGTTATTATAAATAAATAATAACAATTCTCGATTCTAATATTTAACATTTTAAATAAATGTTATTCGTTAATGTTGCAATTCACATTATAAACGATTTGTAAGCATTCATTTTAATTGTAAATGTAAACAGTTGTGTATTCAATATTACTAAAATAAAAAACTAAAAGATTATTTTTATAAACCTTTTTTCTATTTTTTTGCCGAAAAATTACTACATATTACACACATAGAATTTTTTTCCTGAATATAAAAATATAAGAAATAATATAAGAGCATCAAAATAATAAAAATTTTAAATTTAAATCTAATAATTATTATATTAACAAATTATTTAACAATTACAGGTTTCCTTTTCACATAAAACTATGATTTTACGCAGTCAATAAATTGTTATGTCGTAATTCGTACATTTTAAAAACAATCACAATCTTTGTAATGAATCGAAACCCTTTCGTAATCGAAAAGAAATTCGTTGGCTTCACAACGAATATAAAAGATGCCTGTGCTAGAACAATGGCAGTGTTACGTTTCTTCTTAATGACTTTTAAGCAAGAGATTAAGAATAAATTTTTAGCATGTAAGTTATTAAATTTATTAGTTTATTTAAAGATTTTACATTTATTTTATTTTATTAAATAAAATATAGCTATTTAAAATAATTGTTTTGTATAAAGGATATCGAATCTCGTTTATTTCATTATTTCAATTATAATTTCGGTTCTTGCAATGAGGACTTCTTCTGAAACAATAGAAACAGGAGAATTAATAAATAGTGTTCAATCTCCCATAATTATGGCACAAGATTATTCAAGCATGGTAATTGACCTATCTATTTATTATATTTATATAAGGATTTGTATTATCAGTTTTTAATTTTTCTTATTTTTATCTAAATTACCCAGATTAAATCAATGCAGGATAATTCATATGATAATGATGATAGACCATGTCAAATAGAATATCAAATTGTAAGTTCATCATTATGAATTTTATAATCAAATGGCAAATTCATTACTTCTTTGTTAAAATTGAAATTATAGAAAAATTATTAAACTAAAATTAAATTAAAAAATTAGAAAATTATAATTAAATAAATTAAACTAAAACTAGAAAAATGTGATATATTAAATTTTGCCATCTGAATTCTAATATTTTTCTAAAATAATGACAATATAACAGAAGAATATTATTACTTCAATTGCAGACTAAAAAAAGGGCAGGAAAATGTATAAAACTAAGTCATGGAGTAACTGGTTGTGTTTCTGGTGATTATATGAATCCTTTTCATCCTGACTGCTTCTAAATTCTTATACAAATAATTTAAAAAAAAAATCAGCCTAAAATTAATTATCTAACTTAAAAAAATCGCCACTTTATGTTGTAACGCTTCTATCAATAAAACAGGTATCTTTCCCCGCTATATTTTCGTGTTAATCAAGATTTATCATCAGCCATTCGTTTTCCTTACTTTCTTCCGTTCCATCGAATGTTAATCAACTACCCACGAGTATTCAAGTTCTTGAAACTGATTTCATTTAAGAGTTGGCTTCCCAGGGTTCGACATGTTAATCTTCATGAAGAAAAGTGATTTCCGATGTACGTGACAAAGAAAAACTACTTCAGTTTTAATTTCATTAAAATCTTATGGACTTATGGGGGTTTGAAGTGGGGGTTGTCGCTATAAAATCCTTGGAAAATCGAGATTCCGTTTCTTCAGAGTTGTGAACTAACTGTATAGAAATGCTTAGAAAGTTCACTAGTACTTGGGCAATTCTGCTTTTCTGTGGCTTCCCGCCATGGAGCTGTGGAAACTTTGCTTCCAAGAATTTTGGTAAGATTGGAAAAATCTTGAAATCTTTTCTAATTTATTTTTATTTAATTTGGCAAATTTATTTTTTATTATCTTTTTTAATAATTAAAATGATACAAAAAGTTATTTTATATTTTGTTTATTTTTATTCGAAAAATCAAAGTATGTTAAATTTAAATTTGACAAATTATATATTTAGAATTATAGATTTAGAATTTAAAGTTTTATTTTTCATTTATCATATTATTTATCATATTATCATAATATACATATTATATATTTATCAATAACAGATTTAGCAAAATGAGAACTCTTGAAATTTTTGACATTTTTAAAGGAGAAAAAAAAATATACAAAAAATATAAGATTTAATTAATTTTATCTGTTGCAAAATCAAAATAGAAATAATAAATAAAATAATTTCTATTCTTGAAAATATCAAGAACATTTTTCTGGTAGCTTTGAATATTTTAGTAATATTCTTTTTTATTTTTTTTTTTTTTTAAGTGATAAAAAAAATTATTCTAATTCATTTTTAAAAAATGCAAAACATTTATAAATACATTTATAATTATATTTATAGTAAATTATGTAGTAAATTTAAATTATCCTTCCTATTTACGAATATTATTCCTAAATATTTCCATATATTATATTATTCCATATATTTATAAAAAATTAGATAAAAAAATTGTACAATTCAGTGACTTCTTTAAACTTGTTGTTTCTTTAGTTATCTATTAAATCCGTCACTGTTTATTACAGAAGAAAAATTAATCAAATTGTCTAAAGTGATAGAATACATTCATCAAAGACCTCAACAAATGAATGCCGATGTTACGTTATCTCTAACTATTGTTCAAGGTAAAATTATAACAATATTGTAAATTTACAATTTTAACAAGCACCATTATCTTCGAAACATTGAATATATCATTTCATGTTATTTTTTACAGCTAACATTGCTGCTATTTTTTTACATAAAAATGCACAATTCTTGACCGATAAACATCGAAATATACTTATGACGATTTTAAAACTTTGTGATTTAACAAGACGAGATTTATTAAATAAAATTGTTTTAGAGAATGAAGATATCCGATTATGTAAGAAAATTTAATTTTAAAGAAAGAAAAAAATATTATCGTAAAAAAAATTTATTTTCGAATACAATAATGAAAACGGTCAATTCATAGTGCACGAAACAATAAATTATCCCAATTTATGGATGAAAAAGATATCATGGCAGCATGGCGCTCTAGTAAAAGGGAGAGCCAATATCGGATCTTATCGAGATATACGAGATCTGATAATGCAAGGAGCGCCTAAGGAGGAAGAAAGCGATCGATGTCTCGCTGAAATCGTTCGAAATAAGTTCAATTCGGATCATAGAATTCCTAGTTTATGCCTTGAAATATTAACTACTCGAGAATCCACCAAAGGATATCCTCTCACTCATCGATTATTAATCGTTCAAATTGCCAAAATAGTTAGTATATCATTACAAAATTTTTTCAATTTGTTCTTCTATATAGGATTATAAGTATTCAAAAATTTGAGAAATTCTTCAAGTAAAAATAAAAATTAAGAATAAAAAAAATTATATTTTTGATTTTATCATGAATAATAACTAAAAAATTTTTTTATTTTTATTTTATTTTTTTAAAGAATTATTAAAGAAGTTTAAAGAATTATTCTTTTTGACATTTGTAATTAAAGATATTATGCATCTAATTAAACATAAGTTCTTTTCAGATGGAATGTGACCAAGATCTTCCATCTTCAGAATTAATACTTTTTTATTGTTCTGCAATTTTCCAAGATCTGATCGATATCGAAATAGCTGGATTTCCTTATCAAACACCAGATTTAATGATGGAACAGGGTAAAGAATAAAAAATACTTCAAAATTTTTTAAATTTTGTATCATTATTTTTTTACACAATTTCTTTTCTTTTGTTTTGAAAGTTGTTTTATGCGGCATAGAAGGTTTTCTTGAATTCACTGATAAGCATTATGAACGATTAATATTGGATTGGTCACATCCTAGTGGTTGCTTCAGTTCTTTCGGGTACGTATCTTCAATGATAGATTATACTGTTTTTCTCGCATTTCACCTTTGACTTTGATTGGACTTTTGGATACAATCGATCATAAAAATATATATTTTATTTTCACAGAAATAAATTTCTTAGTAGTAACAAAATGCGTGTGATACGAAGAGCTTCGATGCAAACTGATTTTGGGTGTGATAATCACGCTACTGGCTTAGCCGCTGCTTCTCTTTCTTTATTTATTCGCAAAAGTTTAGAGAATACGTATGAGTAAACAACGGAATTATCCATCGTTTACAAAAGTATACATGTGTACTAGCATATAAATATAGATACAACTTATATATATATATATTGTATATATTCTATATATATATATATATAGAATAAAATTTAAAGTTGCGTTTTCAGAGAAAAATAATAAAATTCTTGTAAATATTTTATGTTACTTAAAAAACATTTCGAATATTTCAAATGTTTCGCAAAATATTTCTTTAATTTGATATTTATTGCACGTTTTCTACGAATAATACTATCAATAAAAAATTTCTCATTATCACTTTGTTGAGAACACAACAGCTGAACGAAGAAATGAAGAGAATATGAAGAAGAAAATAAAGGTATAAAAAAAAAAAATAAAACTACAAACAAATAATAATTTATTTTTCATAGTTTGTAACAATAATTACAAATGTATATTACGCGGTAGAAAGAATAAAAGAGAAATAAAAGTGGGGAGTAGGAAAAATAAATAAAATCAGTCGTTAACCTTGCGTAGGAGACTGGTTCTTGCAGTGTGGCAACGCGTATATTTTTACATACGCTTAATATTTTCGTTATCCTTGAAAATGGAATCTATTTTCATCTCGCTAGGGATCAGCCTCGTCTTTTTGATATCGCAATAACGAATCGACAATAGTGTCGGTTCTTGAAAAAAAAAAAAGGCGTTGTTTTCTTGTAGATCCATTTGAAACGCGTTTCATAATTGTTTTTATACCCTCGAACGATGCTCGTTTTTCGGTTCAGTATTATATACGGTATTTATTCGTGATATGCTCTTATCGCGGATATATGATCGAGAGTCTCCTTTGAACCCAGTGAAGCGAATAATTTCAGAGCAATACAATAGTTCATAATAAATTTCTTTAATATTTCTCAATCTCTCTTCGTTTTTCGTTGTCATTCTTTACGATTGCCGTTAGTAAACATGAAATGAGGTTAAAATTTTGTTTCCAGCAGTGAAAATATAAATAAAGTTTTGTCTTATTTGTAATCTCATCTATATGAAGAAAATTAGAAAAAACTTTGATATTTTCGATGTATGAATGATTCATTTTGATTATGTATTATATATTTCGTTTAATAATTTAATTTTTATTTTAAGAATACGAAATATATTTATGAAATATATGTACATAATATAAAGTTTCAACTTTTTATGCAAAAAAAATTGTTAAAAATAAATATATAAAAAATATTGAATCATTCGAGTGATCATCTTGATGCCATAAATATATTCTAATCTACTCATGACTATTAATCTTATTTTACAAATATGATTCTGCGGTTTTCGATAAATTCTTTATCGACGAAAGGCGTCTCGTGCTTTGGTGCGATTGTGCTAATTGATCATTAAGTATATAATTTCTCCCAAAATAATTAGACTATTCTTTCATATATAATTTATTTTTATTATTTTTTTTGATTTTTTATTTTAAAAAAAAATAGTCTAATTATTTTGTGAAAAGAAAATATAAGAAGTATTGATCATTTTCTTCTTTGTGAAATTATCGATTTGTTTTTAAGGTCTTCGATAATTATAAGGTCTTCCATATGGGTCGATTCGGCTACTCATTTTATCATACCTTAATTGTTGGAAATAACTGTACACTACCAACCACAAATATACATAGATTACTGAAAAAAAAACAGGATTAAGATTAATTATAAACCAATTTATATTTGAAACATTTTTTAAAATGATCAAATTATTGTGTTTAAAAAAATTAGATTATTAATATAGCAAAATCTTTTTTTTATATTTTAAATATTGTTGAATTTCTGTAACTCGAAATTCTTAAAAATATTACAATTTTGTTTATTCATATTCATTCCTGTAAAAATTTCTATAATAGAAGATAGAATAAATTTATATAACTCGAATTTTATTATATTTAATTTAAAATTTGAAGTCAAAATAATCCCTTCTCTACAATTCTATAAATCAAATTTTTATCCCGAAGAATGCTGCCTCGAAGAATGTTACGTATGAATAACTCATTCTTTGGAAATTTCGAAGATAAAATTCCCATAACCTCTTTTACCTTGAGATTCGAGATAGCAAGATTCGATTGTATTTTTTAAAGTATTTTAAAGTATTTTTAATTAAATTTATAAATGATAATTTATAAGAAAATAAACTAATAAAAATTCACAAGAAAACAAAATAAGTGAAAATATAAAATACCACAAAATATAAAAGTAACTATACACTACTCACCAATGGTTAGGAGGCCAATAATGAGCCACAGAATTCCAATTATTACGTCATGATATATAAAGAACATGATGGACGTATAGAGGACACTCACTAATAAACCAACTGCTAAGATTAAACCCAAAACTACCCATGGTAGCATTAAAAATGTTTTTTTCTAAAAAAGAAATATTTTAATTTATATAAATTTAAATAATCAATTAATTAAACAAATTTAAAAAACTTTATAATAAAAAATTTTATTCTATAAACTTGAAATTGATTTAGATTTTACCTTAAGAGCGCCAACTATAAGCAATGTTGAAATCAAAATCGTCATGCACAAATTTATCGCAAAAATGATCCTGACGATGCTCTGGTCTACAATGTCAATCAATATTGTTTTCCATTCGACATTTAAAGTAAAGATTAAGATCAATGAGATAATTGATAAGACCTAATAAGAATCGAATAAATATGTTTCTATAAAAAATGATTTTTTTTTGATTAAATATAATGTTAAATAAATAATATAATAAAATTATATAAATAAATAAAATATATAAGTAATATATAAATAAAATTATATATAAATAAATAAAAATATATAAATAAAATTAATTAATTATTTTTTATCATATACTTACTATGCCCAATATTCCAGTGAACAATGTCCCCGTTTTTAACGAATAACATTTGCAACACGTCGTGAGTTGCATTCTGAAAAAAGAAAAATAATATTAAATGATGTTTCAAAAAAAATTAAGATGTTTTTAATCTTTTTGTTATTTTCAATTTTTATAATCTTTTGCAAGTATATTTTGACATAAATTCTTACAAAGATAACAGCAAGATTAACAAATTTTAATATTTTCGATAAATTTGATATGAAAAATTTATTTATATTTTTAACTAAATATATAAATATGTTCAATTAAATGTATTAAGAAATTTAAGAATTGCTTGTTTAGTGAGATAAAAATTAAAAAAAGAAGAAAATTAAGGAAAGCTAAATTATAATTGAAGAAAAAGCATGCAAGATTTGTAAAATTATTTTTAATCACTTAAAAATTTTTTATTTTTATAGCTTTTAAGAAGTTTTTCAAATTTATATTGTTAAAATTAATTATTTTATCGATTTGTTCTTTCTTCTTAGAAATATCAAACAAGTATTCTAGATAGAATTTAGATCACAGGTAGAATTAGAATCTGTGATGCTTGCGTATTTTTAAAATTGATCGACAACCAATTCCTCATTCCTGATACAATAACATTTTTTGTTTTCTCTTTACGAATTCTATTTTATTTATTATTTATGAGCTATTACTTACGAATTGTGTAAAATTTCAATATTGAATTTTTTAAAATTTTTTAATGTTTTTCATTTTTTTATTATGATTAGCAAGAGAAAACTTTTTACTATATATATCATAAAAATATGTGTTAGATTTTCCAAAATTTTTACATACTCTTAAACAAAAAAAATAATTGCAAAAACATTTATTAAAATTTATTATATTGTACATTATAAATATTTTTAATTTCTTTATTTAGCTATATTTTTTATTAAAATTATGACTCAATAGTTCAATTTCATCATTTAAGTCATTTTTATTGAATAAAATGTCATGAAACGTTTTCTTTTCCTTTCTTCGAATCATCATATAACATCAACTATATTCTCATACCCATATAATGTGAACGCATTAGCATACGCGATATTACATCAAAGGTGACGCTACATTATACCTAACCTTACTCATTTTTATTTCAGTTCGACCACGACATAAAAATTTCTAAATGTTGCTATTATGCAAATGAGAACATTGGGTTTGTTGCATCATCAAAGATACAAAGTTTATTTTAATGAAATATAAATATATAAGAAATACAATATTCAGAATTTGAATAATTGTTTTAAATTAAAAATCATGTAACTATGAAATGTAATGTCATGTAACTATGAAAATTAGAGTAAAGATATGAAGATGAAAATTAGATATTGAATTATTAGATGAAATCAAATCCTTAATAAAGTTTTTATACTTTTTTTGAAAATGATAAAGTTTGATTTAACAAATTTAATTTTTTATCCATTTTATCTGTCAGAAAATGAGATAAAAATAATTACAATTAAAATTTTATATTAATAACTTCTTAATTTATTAATTTAAATTTTTCATATTATTGCCAATAATTGTTCTTTTAATTTTTTTGAAATCGAGCGGATTGGCAACAATGATCATAATCTTGAATATGTGGCATTAAAACGACGATATTTAATTCGCGGCACGCCGAGAATAGAGAGAATATGGGTCATTGGCATAGGTGGTCAGCATCTATTTTCGCCTGTTTGTCGATTCGCCTCTTTGGTCTATCCATTGCTGACCTTTCTTTTCACGTTTGTTATTCCTTCAAGATTGTGATATCCGGTCGCCATACTACCACATCATCTTAACTGAATAACCCTACTAAATAAATTACCGACCTCATTTATCAATTGAGACTTTAATGAATTAATCAATTTTTATGATAAAATAAATTAATCGTGAAAATCTTGATTAATTTAATCTTTAAATTTTTAAATTTAAATTTATAAATTATATTATTTACATTTATTATTTTATTAATTTAAAGTGTTTATTTTTTCAAAAATTTCTGAAAAGGATTAATGATTTTGTTTTATATTTAAAAAATATTATTTTGGTCTTAATATACTTAATATACTTAATATACTTTTAAATATTACTAAATAAAAACTTAATCTTTAATTTTTTCGAAGAAAATAACAAATCTTAGTAGATTAATTAAATTAAATTAATTTAATAAATTTTTTTAATTAATTAAATTAATGGATTTCCAATTTCTTTAAATATCGTATAATTTATGTTAAAAATAAATTTTTATATTTATTATTATTAATTTATCGAAATTTTTAACTTCATGATTATTGAGAATTCAGATTAAACAATATTCCTTTTAACAAGTTATTATCATAAAATTTAATCAATATTAATATCAATATTATTAAATATTATTCAATAATAATTTAAATATTTCATGTCCTTTCTCGAAAAAAAAATAATCATCATAAGAAAATTATATTAATAATTGATTAAGAAATGAAGTTAAATGTCGCTTTAAAAAAAATAGTGAGAGACAGGAAAAGGAGATCGCCATGAGATTCGATCGATACGAGCGACCCTGACGGTCATGGTGAATACGAAGCTAAGACGAGGTCTCACGAGCCCCATAAGGAAACGCATCTCGATCCCTTGTTCCTGCGATTTCTCTGGTTTACCTCGTGCAAAAAGGAAATGTATCATCTATGAAGAACTCGTCGGATGACATTGGCCGCAAAGTCGGTGTTTTGCTTTCGTTCCACTTCTATCTTGTTTTTAGAACGTATGAATTCGTGATTTATTTAACTATTAAATGACACGGGACTTGACCATCTATATTCATTGAAGTACGTATAATAATAATTCATAGATCCTAACCTATCTAAATTTCATATTTTTTGTATCTTGGAAAAGAATTATTTAAATATTTTATTTATAATATTAATGTGCAATAAATTGATATGCAAATTAAAAAATATATATATATACATTATATATATATTATGAAAATTAAACTTATATATAAAGTATATAAAGAATCTTATGATTCATAAATCAAGTCTTTATAAAAATTGTAAACGTTAGTAATTTTATATAAGACTTCTCTAATTAATATACTATGAATGTTCATATATTTGTGAAAAATCTAAATCTAAAATAAAATATACAAAAAATAAAGTATAAAATAAAGTATAAGTTATGATAAAGAATAAAAATTAATATTTAAATTTCATTCTTTAGTTATATTCATAATTTCAATTTCAATATGCATAATTTCCGCTTTATAGATCAATTTGATCAATGCATTTGATCAATATTTTGTTTAATGAATTTCTATCATTTTTTGATTAAAATGTTAATAGTATTCATCAGTAGAATAACAACATTTGCTCACAACTTATGTTCTATAATGAGCGATGACATATGAAATAAGGTCGCGTAAGGTGAACCATTCAGTATCAAAATTGTGGAAAAATCGCGATTACACTTATCTAAACACGACTTAAGCTTTAATTTTGTTATTTTTAACTAGTTTTAATTGCGTTTCATCGATTGTATGTCTAAGAGAAGATTAAAATCGCGGGTTTTGATGTATGCACGAAGTGACTTTGTCAGTCTGTTCGCAGTATTCGTTGCAAAAAAACGCGTTGCATCATCTAGCAAGAGATCATGCTCGGCCTCGAGAGGTTGTTTTCCACGAGAAGGCTTGTGAATACGAAGACGGTTTACTTACAATGTTTTCTTTCAAGTACTATTTAGGAAATGCAAAATGCTGCTTTGAAATTTAATTGAGAAAGTATGTTCGTTTGAATATTATTGCATTAAGTTGTTGAGTTAAGAGTGATTTTAAGATTATTTGGATATATTTAACTTTTTATGAAAATTATATATTTTATAACATAGAGTTATATATTTTATATTTTTTAATATAAAATTGTATTTATTCATTGTATTTATTTATCACTGAATCATTGAAATTTACATTATTATATTATTGTATTAATATTAATATTACTTTATTTATAATAATTATTAATTCTTGAATATTATATCTTATATTATATAATATTAAGATATAAGATATAATATTACATCTTAATTGAAGTTATTTCTCTTATATAAACAAATGAGATTTTTTTTTTGGAGAACTAATTTGCACGATTCAAATAATAAATATATAATTAAGAATATGAAAATAAAGAATTTGATGTTTTGAATATTAATTTGAATATATATCATATAATTAATTAGAAAATTAATTATATATATATATATAATATCCAGTATTAAATAGAATGTAAATGAAAGTATTTTCTATAACAAGAAAAATAATATATAAGTATCAAATATAAAAAAGATTTAAGTTTGAATGTGAAAATGTGAATCTAATTATATTGAACAAGCTCAAGACATTGAGTGATAAAATGAGTAGAATCCGTATTAAATTTAGGCGAACCATGTGCGATGATTGATCAGAAAAAAATAGAAAACCACTTGATACACGTGTTTACGCGACGCCTACTCAATTATTCTTGACCTAGATATAAGCAAAGGGCGGACTTAGCAAATACTTCCTTTTCTTTGATTAGAGTAGTTCTGCCCTTTCATGAAATGGATATCGATATCACGCGAGCTTTTTATTTATGATTCGTTTACATAATGGAAATTTCTATTACGAGATATAACCAATATACATATGAATAGATTTCTATTCATAAATTTATAAAGATTAATACCTAATCTCAAAATAATATTTTTAAATGTTATGAATTTCCAATGCAAAACTAGTAGACATAATGAAATTTTGAAAGCTTTTATCGTAAATTTTATTGTATACTGTGAAATTATTAATAAATATCATTATTTTTTTATTATTTTATTTTTGATTGGATAAAGTTAAATAGCATTTTTTGATTCACATCTCAATTATTGAAAGAGAATCTCAGATGCATTTATTATATGTATTATGTTCACTATATTATAATATTACTTTATTTATAATAATTATTAATTCTTGAATATTATATCTTATATTATTTATTTTTGATTAACGCAATTGATTTGATAAATTATTGTAAAATATTGCATGTAGTTATT